TTTTCACTTCGCGGTCCTTCTCTGTTCTTTTTCCGTTATTTACACGTGTAGGTCATTTCGTTGTTATTCACATTTGATATCATCATTTATCGCATACTACCATGACGCTATTGTCTGCCAACTGTTAAGAATTAACGCTATTAGCGAAGCGTAGTGACAGCGGGGGGCCAATAGAAAGCGGGGTCCTTGCCATAATGAGATTTGCGCGCCAATTTTCGTACGTACGTTAATCAAGCCGAATAGTTTGGCCGAATATTCGGCTATTCGGCCACGCTCCTGGCCGAATATTCGGTATTCGGCCTGAGGCCGAATATACTATTCGTTACAACACTAGTTATTACTTTGTCTCCAATTAGTTTTTATAAACTTCACTATCTTTGCGGTATTAAATGTCTACAAATTACAAATTTTTAAATACCGTTTCTTTCGATAAAGAAAAACATATAGACAACGAATATTCGTTTTTTTTATTAAGGGATTTTGGATTGGTAATGGGTTGTAACTATATTTTTTTTTTTTACTATTTTTACAATCCTCCCATCTCCTTGTAATGCACCATATGCAACTCACTATTCTATAAAATTACGTAACGTATAAGAACTCCTTCGTGCTAGTTTTCAATATGAAGATCTGATCACTGACAGTTCCTTAATAGTACACTTTACATATTTTCTAAATAATACCATAAAAACAAGAATTCCTATTTTTTCTGCACACGACTCAAATTTTAAAGTTGAATCATACAAACATGGGTTTATTCAGCACTGAAAATCGATTAGTAGCATTCATCTGTTGGAGAAAAAGTCCTAGAAAAATCTGGAAAAAATTTCGTCTAACTTTGAAACATACAGTACACATGTTGGTCACCAGTTTTAGCTGGCTGGTTAATTCATACTATGCAGATAGAAAGAAAATTCAAATCTTGTTGCCATTGCTTATGAATAAACAAGATAATTAGCTTAAATTTTTAAACAAATCAGAAAAAATTTGAGGAAGTTCTTTCCGCTGTTATTAGGTCTGCCTTCTGTTTTGCACATTTCAAGTGTTTTTAATGTCCCAACGCCCACCACGAGTTACTGAAAATTCTGAAAAGCATTGTTCATGTTTCACTTTGTCAATACGAACACAAACTTTTTTCAAAAACGGATAATCCTTTTTTAATTCATCAGTAAACACACGGTTTCTTTCTGGCATTTTGGAGATTAAGTAAATTAATTTAATGTACAGTTACAAAATAATCGCAAATACCGACTAGCAATTTGAACTTCGACTAAGATAGGACGTGAGCAATAATGACATGGTATAAGTTTTAGTGTTACCAACTCTAATTGAAACAAAATATCTAAAAAAAATGAAATAAAAACATTTGGATCTCATAGGCTACATGATATTATAAATTATGTGAAAAATATCTGGATGAAGAAATAAAACATCTGAATTCTCGTTCTCTCTCATTCTGTCTAAAATAATGAATTCTACTATTAAATTTCCCCCTCCACATATTACGAAAAAAATGAACATAATCACGTGATAATCATGTAATAATTCACTTTTTTATGGATGTATGCCTGAGGTACACAGTGAAACACGTCTTATTGCGTACTCTCTTCTACAGAAAGCTTTATTTTATCGAACCATTTCAGAGGTTTCTCTAAAACTGCAGCCAGGAAATCAAACAGGACTACGGGAAGGAAAAAAAGGACAAAAGTGTAATTATGACTGACACTCCAGAAAAACAAGAAATCTGCAGGGTTATGGAGCAAAAGCAACAACATAATAATCAAACAAGAAAAAGTGCTTACAACAGAATCTTAATTAATAGGCCTAATCATGATAGCAGTGACACTAATGAGCTTGAACAAAAATCAGCGATTCTGTTTCAGAAATACCTATTGCACTGCAATCAGATTTTTTTGGAAAACTAGATGGAGATCCTAAAGAAGGAGGCTACGTTCTAGTAGAGTTTCCTGACAAAATACATTATATTGGACCAAATAACTAAAGAAAAGGATGATAAATAGGACCTTGACATTTCTTTCCTAAAACCTGAAAAGTTGCAAGGAAGTTCTATACCTAGGATTGCAATCTTTGCAAATATAAACATATCCGACATAAAAATGTTGCTACTCCTCCAAATCATTAACAAGAAGAGATTAGCAGGACACAAAGTTTTCACTCGATTTCACGTGAATAAACATTCATTAGATACTCTTATCCTTAGGTAAGCCTGCATATCTCAATGTGGACCATGTTGTCTCACTGTATAACTGATTGGTGCACAGTGAGATAGGTTACCAACTCTTATTCTTTTTATTCTACGATAAAAATGATTTTAGTTATTACTCAGTTCTATTTATATAATAAACATTACAAAAATTAATATTATTTTCTTATCATGAAGCATTTCTTACTTTTCGTCTCACTGTGGACCAGTCTTCCTTACTGGAGGACTGCACGACAAACAGTTATCCTGTCCTGAATCTCGTGTTATTTGTGGATTTTGATCATTTTTTTTATTATGATATTGAAAATAATAATATAATATTTATAAATGTATAAGTGATGTCTCCACATTTCATAAACAATCAAAAAAAAAAAAAGTTCATTTTAATCTTAGATGCAATTGTAATCCACAAAAGTAAATCGATGGTGAGTCACGAAACAAGAGTTATAGTTAAATATTTTTCCGAATGTTATTTTATATAATTTATAATTAACATAAATTTGAATATTTATACATGCAATGATTTTAGGCCTGTACAGTAAATAATAGGTATCCAGTTTTCTGAGGATATTTATTCTCCAATTTCAATAAAACAAACGACTGGACAACGTTGTTGAAGTACGCTAATTTACAAATGGTTCTAAATTACACAGAAATAAATTATCCTGTAAACCGATATTATTGAGTTGGCCCATGTAAACTGCGCTACTGGACATCACTTTATTGTCAACAGTAAAGGTAATTTTATAGCTTTTTATGTTCCTATTAATATATCATTATCGTTATTATAACGATAAAAATACAAATGCAAATTATTATTTTTAATCATGCCGGTCATAAGTTAGGCCAATCCATAATGGGGTGGGCCGGGTTGTGAGGATAGATATACCAGTTGACTCCCCTATAACACTGTTGATTATTCCGTTTTATATGAATTCCATGTTGTACGAGTCACTTAGATTTTACAAATACGTGTACCGGGCTGTGAACGGCTCACGTATTTGTAAAATCTAAGTGACTCGTACAACATGGAATTCATATAAAATGGAATAATCAACAGTGTTATAGGGGGTCGACTGTATCTGGCATGCTAATATCCTGGCAATACTACACCGGAAAAATTTCTGGGGTTTTTCGGCTGCCAGATCGATGGACGTCATTCAATAATTAATATTTCAAAAACAATAAGCAATAATACATAAATAAATTTTACATATAGATGATCCTGACTCAATCTGATTTAGATTCTCATGATTTTTCAGGGATAGTTACTTGCTGGCATATCTTTTCTAATTTCTTACCTGTGATGACTGATGTCATTTTGCAAGCATTAACATCATTTGAAGCACCATCCTGTCTACAGTCCGGATTTGGCTCTCAGTGACTTTCATCTATTTGGAAAATTGAAGGAATTTCCGAGAGGAAAACGCCTCGCCAGTACCGATGAGTTGAAAGACGAAGTCACACAAGTGGCGGCAGAGGTATACGATGACGGCATTCAAAAATGGCCACAAGATATGACAATTGCTTAAACAACGGTGATGATTATATCAAAAAATGACTAAATTGGTGTGTAATATTATGGAAAGTAAAAAATTAGAATAAATTGATTTGTTTTGTGATTATGGGCAAACGGGCATTACTTTCTGGATAACCCTCGTAGTTTGTACTATTATAATATAAAAATTTTAACAATATTTATTTGTTTGTTTAAATTAATCGTAACTGTAAATATAATCGACGTTCGGCAGATCGGATGATGGAGGCAGTCAAAGCATCGGCCGTTCTTGGAATCCAAAATCTCACCTCCCAGAATTTTTTCTTGGGCGGTAATGGATAGTTCAGGATACACTGAGCCCATCTCTCTCTTACCATTCTATCCCCATTAAGGGCCTGGCCGAACCCATGACAGATATGGCAAAAAAGCCTTCTTAGTGTTTACAGAAAATTAAAAATAGAAAAAAGTAAAAAATACATTATAATCAATTTTAATTATCAAATAACTTATATTGTTATTCAAATAATATAATGTTTAAATAGATCGTTTTTCGTATAAAACTATTTTAAATTATATTAATACAAATAATTTTTATATCTTTAGAAGACAAATCTCAGAACTGCGTCTGAAATATTTTTTATTCACTGTAAATGAATGATAGCATCATTATTATATATGATAATGACTTTTGAAAAGACACTATAAATAGGCCTACGACATTAAACACGATATTATTAATAATGCCATCGATTGAGTATGTGCTGAGTCATAATGGTAGTTTGATATTAGGCTATATAAAATGAAGATCAGGTAAATATTACACAAACGACAAAAATTATTTATCTAAAATAACGGTGATAAAGGCGTTCGGATTAAAAATAAGAAATAATACCGTTCTCTGGAAAATATGCTGCTAGATTCACGAACGTCACAAGATAATATCTCTTCGTCGACCCCCCTATAACACTGTTAATAATTCCGTTTAATATGAATTCCATGTTGTACGAGTCTCTTAGATTTTACAAATACATGAGCCGTTCACAGCCCGACACACGTATTTGTAAAATCTAAGTGACTCGTACAACATGAAATTCATATAAAACGGAATTATCAACAGTGTTATAGGGGGTCAACTGTATTTGCAATATTCCCAGGAAAGCCAACTCAATTTTATTTCGTTAGAATTAAAATGCTTCTTAGATGACATATAATTTCTATCATCTTCCATAAAATACAGGATGTTTCAAAAATAATCATCCGATTTAAAAAAATCATAACTATTCAGTTTTTAATCTATTTTGATCAAACGATGTACTGTTAGAAAGAGGAAATTTTCGAATTTTACGTGGTTTCCGATTGGAAGCAGCCATATGCTTCGTATTTTTGGGAATCACGTATCTCGATATGTTTGAAAACTGCCTTTTCTCACAGTTAAAGACCGATTTTTATATTAAAAAGACAATAGATTGTCTCATAACCGCTCTTCAATCCTGCAGTCAAATTAATATGGCTTACAGAATATAATTCTACATTTGTAATTATTCGTATTTTTTCCAATAGGATCTATATTATATATTATTATTATTAATATTTATTCTTCTGCTTCTATTCCGTTTTTTTAAAATTTCAATATGTAAACGGTTCAAACACCGTTAAATATTGAAATTACATATTATTTTTTTGAAATTTTTGTAAATAATTTTATAATATTAGTAGCTATTTAATAAGAAACTATTTTTTTAAAAAATTAGATTGAATTACAATTTAAGATTTCTATAATTTAAAAATAATATCATAAAAAACTTTTTATTACTTAAAAATTTAAGTTATTTTTTTCATAATAATAATAATAATAATAGTAACGATATACGAGTAGCAATATTCAATATCAAAAAGGGCATCATCACTATTAGTAATGGTAATTTTATCCAATTCGGAAATTCTACGATGAACTTAAAATAAATAGAAACTAATTTATAAAAATAATATTTTATAATACGAAATTCAACAAATAATATTGTCAAAAATTTCGAATTAATCAATTAAATTCTGTGACTTAACGACTTGTTGGACCCCGACGATACTGACTTAATTAAAGAAGTTTCTAAATTTCTGAATTATAAAATTAAAAAAAAAAAATGAATTAAAAATTGGCAAATGAGTAATTAATTACCAGAAGTAAAAGTTCAAAGGTAAATATTAATTACAAAAAATTAAGTATTTTGTAAATGAAACGTTTGCAAGTCTGAATCACTTGTTGAGCAATTATCGAAATTACAGAATAGCTGATTAATCTAAATTAACGATTCTATAATGTCAACGTTGCTTACAGGCCGATTTCCGTAACGTTATTATATACTAAATCTACAGATTAGATTATCTAAATTATAAAACTGCTACGAAAAGATAGAGCATTTGTAAATTTACTTGTTGTATTGTAAACTTAACGAAATTTGGCCATGAAGATTTCAACAGTAGGCTACTTCCAAAGATGGAATTATTGTCTCTTTTGGATTCAAATGATTAAAAATAACATTCGTATCATTAATTATTATTTAGTAGTATATACAAGCCTATATAATATCGGTTTTATCTAAAAAGATTGTTGAAATAATTACATTGATCTGACGGATCTTACAAGTTTATCGATTTCTTATCAATATGCTATTTGGATTCTACTCAAGAATATTTTTTAGAATATTTATGTATTATATTATAAATGTTCTGTTTAATTATAACTACGGACATTTAATATCTAATTTTTTAATTAGAGTAAATCATTCGAATGGTCTGTACCTCTCCGAGGGACTTGGAATCAAATCCTGGAGCGCGTGATCAGTAATTTTTCATGGAAGATCTATCCTGGATATGTCCGATCCCATTCCTTACACCCTGTCGCTCCTATTGTGTGCCTGGCTGCACGATGGGTCTGAAAAAAAGAAGACCCCCGGAGCGAAAAGAACCAAAAATAGACAGGAAAACAAAATCTGTTTTCATCAAAAAGTCTTTAATATATAATTTATAATTTTAAAACAAGTAATATACTAAAAACATTTTTAAATGCCGCTTAATTATTTACACGCTATTGAGTTTTTAACATTTAGCGATTTAAAAAATCAAGACATCTGAACAATATTCCTTGTTTTTCATCAACTTCCACATGCACTAACAACAAGAACAAGATTTGTATCTCAAAAAAGTATTATAAATGACAAAAAAATTGTTATAATTTTATAATTTTCTAACAAAAGTACAAGGATGAGCGAACTGTGACCTTATGCAGTCAGTAATTAGAGCATAAAGTACCGATAGGATTTAACTTTAGAAGTAAAAGGACGATGTCCTTTCTCAAATTTTTTACTTTTCACGTTTCGTAGTTTTAAAAAATAATAATAATTATTATTATAAAAGCAAATCTCGGTTAAATATTCGATTATTTAAGAAACGAATGAGTGTTCATTCAAAGGTAAGATGTTTATGATTCGAATTTACCTTAGGGACAAAACCTTGAATTATTAACAAGTTTGATAATATAATTACTTGAGATTACGTGGAAAAATTATCATAAAACAGATGTTGGATATTCATTAAAAGATAATATTTTTAAGAGAATAACTTAATAAACATATTTTGTTAATTAAAATAACAAAAAATATATTATTTTAAAAATAATTCAAGCAAACATTTGGCATTTTTTTTTAATATAAAATATTAATTTATTTTTCGTATNATATTTATGTATTATATTATAAATGTTCTGTTTAATTATAACTACGGACATTTAATATCTAATTTTTTAATTAGAGTAAATCATTCGAATGGTCTGTACCTCTCCGAGGGACTTGGAATCAAATCCTGGAGCGCGTGATCAGTAATTTTTCATGGAAGATCTATCCTGGATATGTCCGATCCCATTCCTTACACCCTGTCGCTCCTATTGTGTGCCTGGCTGCACGATGGGTCTGAAAAAAAGAAGACCCCCGGAGCGAAAAGAACCAAAAATAGACAGGAAAACAAAATCTGTTTTCATCAAAAAGTCTTTAATATATAATTTATAATTTTAAAACAAGTAATATACTAAAAACATTTTTAAATGCCGCTTAATTATTTACACGCTATTGAGTTTTTAACATTTAGCGATTTAAAAAATCAAGACATCTGAACAATATTCCTTGTTTTTCATCAACTTCCACATGCACTAACAACAAGAACAAGATTTGTATCTCAAAAAAGTATTATAAATGACAAAAAAATTGTTATAATTTTATAATTTTCTAACAAAAGTACAAGGATGAGCGAACTGTGACCTTATGCAGTCAGTAATTAGAGCATAAAGTACCGATAGGATTTAACTTTAGAAGTAAAAGGACGATGTCCTTTCTCAAATTTTTTACTTTTCACGTTTCGTAGTTTTAAAAAATAATAATTATTATTATTATAAAAGCAAATCTCGGTTAAATATTCGATTATTTAAGAAACGAATGAGTGTTCATTCAAAGGTAAGATGTTTATGATTCGAATTTACCTTAGGGACAAAACCTTGAATTATTAACAAGTTTGATAATATAATTACTTGAGATTACGTGGAAAAATTATCATAAAACAGATGTTGGATATTCATTAAAAGATAATATTTTTAAGAGAATAACTTAATAAACATATTTTGTTAATTAAAATAACAAAAAATATATTATTTTAAAAATAATTCAAGCAAACATTTGGCATTTTTTTTAATATAAAATATTAATTTATTTTTCGTATATTTTTTATACTGAAAAAGAATATATTTCTTAAAATATATATTCATTTATATTTTTAACTGTTAAGGGTAATGGAAATATATATATATATATATGTATGTATACATACACGATAATAAATAACTTATAGAAAATTTTTGAGGTTTGTTCTGTATTTAGAAGCACTAAAAAACTAATTTTTACACGTGGGAAATCATTCTTCTGATGCTCAACTGTAGATAACAAAATGAGATAATTAGAAAATAAAATAAAAAAACTTGAGATATAAAAAAACTATATAAAGACAATGCGTTGAATAATTATTCAGCGGCCCATTTGACGCTCATAAAGGTAAGTTTTAACCTGAAAAAAAAAATAATTTCTTAATGGACAATATGAAATTCTTTCGTGCGGAATATTCGTACTTATAATCTAGTTTAACAAGCATAAAATTTAATAGATTTATCAGCGGAAGTTTTAATTTTGTACAAATGCCTTTTAAGAACGGAAATTATTAAGATTTGCTCTCTCTTAACAAAGTTTATGATAAGTTTATAAATAAAATTTAATTAAAAGTTGTATAATTCTATCGTTTTCTAGGCCCTAAAATGAAAATCTGCTCGCTTCTTCTATTCTTGACCATTTTTGCAGCTCACCAAGCTGCCAAAATCAATTTCAAAGGTAAGACTTTTCAATAACTCTAAGGAATTAATCTATATGTTAATAAATAATAAAAATATTATTTAATTTTTCTTTTATTTTTCAGCTGGAGGAAACACGGATCCAGAAAAACCAAAAATCGTATGTTACCACAGTGCTTGGGCACAATATAGACCCGAACCCATGAACTACGATATTGAAGACATTCCTGGAGATATGTGTACGCATATCATTTATTCCTTTATTGGTCTTGACGATAAAACATGGAAATTGAAATACATTGATCCTGAATATGATATCGAAAAGCGTAAGTTTGTTTAATATTCTCATTATGTATACGTTTCTACAAGATATTAAGAAAATATTTATAACAGAGGGATACAAAAGATTCATGGACATAAAGAAGAAATGGCCCGATGTGAAATTGATGTTGGCTGTTGGAGGATGGGACGAAGGTGGACAGAAGTATTCAGATATGGTGAGCGACAAGAGCAGAAGAGATATATTTATTAACAGCGTACTCGAAATAATGCAGCAGTATGGATTTGATGGTTTCGATTTGGATTGGGAATATCCAGGCGCTGCTGATAGACAGGGAAAATTTGCTGATAAAGATAACTTCTTAAAACTTGTTCAGGTGAAAAAGTTATTCAATAGTGTTAAAATTTATTATTGTGAAATATTTATAAAATATTTTAATATTTAGGAACTCAGAGCAGCTTTTGATCCACATAATTTGTTACTTTCGGCAGCAGTTCCCATTCCAAAATTTAGGCTGCAAGAAGGATATCATGTCAGAGAACTTGGGCAGTAAGTGCTGAAATTGAAATTATAATCATATTTACTAAAGAAATTTATATAATGATGTCAAACAGATTGATTTTTCTTAAAGGCTTCTTGATCAGATTCACATAATGTCATACGATTTACGAGGAAACTGGGCTGGTTTCGCTGATGTACACAGTCCTCTATACAAAAGACCCTTTGATGAATGGGCATATGAAAAATTGAATGTGGTACGTGTTATTGTAAATGAATTAAAACGTATAACCGAGAATAAATTTATTAAAATGATGTTATTTTCTTAGAATGATGGCCTTCAATTATGGGTTGATATGGGAGCTCCTAAACATAAATTAATCGTTGGCGTACCTTTCTACGGTAGAACGTATACTTTGGGCAGTAAAGATAACACGGATTTACGAGCCGGAATCAAGAAATGGGAAGAAGGTGGAAAAGCGGGACCTTATACCAATGCTAAAGGATTTTTAGCATATTATGAAGTTAGTATCAATTATATTCAATTAAATTATAAAATTTGAAATTAAATAAAATGATATTATGTAGATTTGTCCCCTGACTCAAAGTAAAAAGTGGACCGAAAAATACGACGACATTGGTAAATGTCCATACGCTTATCACGAAGATCAATGGGTTGGTTATGAAGATGAAAGAAGCATTGCCATCAAGGTATGTCCTGTCTTGTAAAATAATATTTAGTTATAAACTTTAAGCACTTTAAATGACAAATATATATTTTGTAGATGGATTTCATTAGAGAAAAGAAATACGGAGGTGGAATGGTTTGGGCCATTGATATGGACGATTTCCGAGGTGTTTGTGGAGAGAAACACGCATTATTAAAGGTCATGAATGAGAAATTGAAAGGTTACGTGGTACCTACACCCGATCCTAACGAAGTGATAACGGAACCTCCCAAACCTACGTGGTGGCGACCACAGACTACCACCATCGACCCTTCTGCACCACCTCCGACACCCAGACCAACACCACCACCCGGTGTAGTTGACTGCAGCAATCCACAATGGCAATATTTTCCTCACGAAAGTGATTGCAGCAAATATTATTGGTGCGTACGAGGAGAACCCATGTTGCAAGAATGTAAATCGGGCACAATTTGGGATACTTCAGCCAATATCTGTAATTGGAAGGAAAATGTAAATCGTCCTGAATGCGATTAAACGAAAAATTTAAAAATAAATCAAGAATNTTTAACAATCTAAGATCTCTGTCGAGACTGATTAAAATAAAAGCTTTATATTATGTTGTTTTATGTTTTTTTACATCATAAAGTTAAACTTTCCATATGCAAAAGATTCGAGGTTTTTTTCCTATATGTGTGGATGTTAGACTGTGTGTGGGAAATGATTTTGTTCAGCCTATTCGAAACCTAATAATTTCTGTGGTCAGAGTGGTCAGAATCGGAGTCAGATGGTTTAACACAGGAGTTATTTATTAAGCGTCAAAGTGGTTGAACTAAATCGTGTCCCCATACACATTCTAACATCTTAGGCGAGAACATCTTAACGGGTTTTACTGTACTATTATAAAATGACAAAAAAGCTTACTTTAAGGGTAGAGATGAGTTTTATTTATTTATTTATTTAAATTTTGAACGCTAATAACGTGTAAAATATTCATTAAGAGATATGACACATGACCCCTTTTATGTCTTCACCTTGTCGACCTTTAATTAAAAACCAAAATTTAATAGTATTAATGACCTTTTATACACAAGCTACAGTGCCACATTTCGTTTCTTAAACTTTACCCATTCTGAGATATTGTTTAATATCTCAGAACAGAAAATAAAGAAATTAAACAAATTAGACGCCAACACATACGCGCGGGCTAATTTTTCCCCTTTTATTAACATTTTTGGGGGTTCGGGAGGTCTTCAAACGTGTAGATTTGAAAAAAAAAGACTTAGAGGGTCAAATTTGACACGATTACAATACTTTTCCGTTTTATATACATAACAAGTTGGTAAGTAAAAAGGAGTCGGAGTCAGCGGATTTTTTGACGACTCCGACTCCGACTCCGGCTAAAACTCCAAAACTCCACGACTCCGACTCCGACTGCACATCCCTGTTTTATCCTGATAAGATAAATATTGTCATTTCATTAAACATTTTGCTTCGTAGTTTGAAATATTAGAATAAAATCACCGATTTTTCAGGATAAAAATCTAAACTTTATTTATTCTGTAATATTTGTATGCTTCGGATTTCCAAAATTGTATCAAACAATTTTCAAAATCAACGTCGTAATATTTTAATTTAGCATACAGGATGTATCAGGAAGAAAGGAATATTTTGAGAGATGATTTCTCATAAGAGTAGTAAAAAAAGTCTATGAAGAATCCGGAATATACGGAAATAAACAATCTGATAAAAATGCACAAACGTCAGTAGACATAGCAAGATCCTTTTCACAGAACCTACTCCACAGAGCTGTGTACGAGACTGAATGAAGGATGAGGTATACCTATAGAACGTAGAATCCCGTGATCACTTATTGCTGCCACAATTATGAAAGAAGACAGGAACGCACGTCACGATTTACTACATCGTGATCAAAATATATCGATAGTGAAGGTGGTCACACTTCGTTCTCGAAGTGGCCATCCTCAGTATCGATTCTCTGATGTCGCCACTCCATTCTGTCATGGATCATCATCAGGTGTAACTGACTGCTACATTTTAACACTTTGGCATGCAAAATTGTGAAGCATTCATATCGCTGTATGTTATCTTTGTTAATATTAGTAAATCACTATAAGAAATATGTTTACATAGACTTTATCTAAGCACCGAGCAAATACATTCACCTCTCGAAGTACAGAGTGTCCCATGAAAAATTGGACCAATTCACCGATTGATACATTATTATAATGTTCATATTGTAAACGAGACAAACTAAAATAATAAAAAAAACATAAATATAAAATAGTTTTATTTACAAAACATTATAGAAACTTGCATAAACCAGTCGTTAAGAGGGTCCAGTTTATTCAGCTTATTAATAGGTCTGGTTTTACATGGGACATCCTCCTGTTACAACTTCTATATAAATATTTTTCAATTAATATGTAAAAAGTGTTTAGAAACTTGATTTACATTGGTTAAAAAGTTAAATAAAATTAACGGCAGCACAATAAAATAATCATTTTTCTTTTAAAGCATAAACAAACATATATAGACTTAATATACTCGTGTAAAATTCCTCAAATTGTGATTATATATTAGAAAGAATAGTATAATATATGACAGTAACGAATAAAAATTATATTTTGTTTAATTAATAATAATTTGCTTATTAATTATATAATTTCTGACATTATTTAAAGTAAAGTTAGACGAGTCATCATATCCTGTTTCACATAATTTATGACTTGTTAATTATTATTTTTTCTATCGAATAACCACGATAGTGTAAATTCACATCAATTTATACGATACAGTAAATGATCGATGTTCGGAAAAAGAAATTTATCATAATACTTCCTCTTCTTGTAAGAGATTTATCGTATTTTTAAAAATATTACTTCATTCAGAAATAGTGATAATCGATAATTCACCTCAAATGAAAGTACAAATTTATTTTATAAATAAACCAATTTCATCACCCGTTTAAAAGCCCGAATAAGTATTTTTTCACATCACAATAGTGTCAGATTAAAAGTTTTCGACTTATTATTATTATTTTTTATTTAATGCATTTTAATCGAATAAATCAAAAGAAAGATGACCTTTCACGATAATTATATAAGTCATTTCGATCAATTTTCGATTGAAACGATACTCGAATGCGTATAGAAAAGAATTAACTGAAGGAAAAACAAATGTAGGATAAGAGGAACGAACTTAAACAATGAAATATCAGAAGAAAAAAATTAATTTATTCTCTTATACAGTAATCAATTAAATGATTAATCTATTTTATTAATTAATATATAACTAAATATTACATAAATAAATGCTGGAAAAGTGGATTAAAAAATAAGTTTGAATTAATACAAAAAATGGTAAACAGAAAATATTGGGATACTGAAATAGAGCTAACAATAAGACTAGACTATTAGAGAATGAAGTGATTAAGTGAGGTATATATATTAAAGTACAGAAAAAGCTATTCAACTAAGTATAAACCATACCTATCTTTAGATTACCGAAGATACAAAACTGCATTTTAACATTTTCTATAAATAATTGCGCGATTGAACACGGAAAGAGAGAGAGAAAAAATAAATAAATAAAAGCTGGAAAACTTCCGGAGCATCTTCGAAATCCACGTAACTAAGGCACTCCTATAATCAATTCAAGCAATAATTTAATATCTGAGCAGTTTTATTAACCTGCTTTCTGTATTGCTACTTCAGATGATAATACCATGCAATGGGCAAAAAATGATACTAATAGATTTTCCTGAAATTATTTCCCTCCACAACATCGGAAGACAAAGATAACTATATACTTATATGTATTGTTTTCCTCTATGTTTCTTCTTTTTTTTCATATGTATATATATTTATATATAGTTTGGCACAAGTAGTTTGATACAAACGAATGATTTTTACGACAAATACAATTTAAAGCAGGAAATAAAATGGATGTAGGAAGGAAGAATAGAAAATCGTTGAATTGGTAAGATATATATATATTTATTTATTTATTAATTTATGAAGAAGGATCGTTTCGGTCGTAAAATATTCTTATTTGATAGCTGAATTTATGAATACGATCAACCTAACTGTATTGGATAGAGATTTTAACTTAAAATACAATTATTTTCTGTATGAATTGTAGAAAATAAGAATGTATAGGAAGAAATACGGTTAAATACAATGATTTTAGGATAATAGAGAAAACAAAACGAAATATTTAAGAACAGGAGGTCCTTTGCCTTATACATAACATAGCAAAGAGTAAAAGATTTTCTTGAAATCAAGTGGGCCATTGCTTTCCTATAACGAGTTTAAACAGAGCATTTTAAGTTTACTTTTTGCTGATTTATAAATTAAAATGGTGACCGAAATCTTTTACGTTTGACATGTTATATATATCGTAGAGGTTTATGTTCGAAAAAATTATTATTTTGTCTTCTCTGCAAACATTTCAGATTAAATCTAAGTATTTTTTTTATTCCGTGTTTGTATTAAATTAAAGTTAACAAAATTGTAAATTAAGAAGGAGAATTACAAAAAAAACACAATATTTTGAAACAGACCAATGACGTAACACCGGTCGGTTGATGAATATCGAATAATTTAAGGCACCGATAACAAAAATAAATTACATTCTTATTAAAAATTGTCATTGTGGACGATTTCTGATTTGGTAAATTATAAAAGAAAAGAAAAAATAAAATGAAATGAAAAAATAATAGAAACTAAATCGAGCGGGTAAAGGTTAATTTTGCTATTTACATTTAGCACGAAATGCTTTGAGGGGCGAAGATGCACGTATCTGTTGAAAGTACGAAAATGCTCCTTTGTGACTTCGATTTCGAGGTTTCTCTTCTATCGTTGGGCATTTATTTTGAGCAGATGGAGTGATGCGATTTGCGACTTTACTTTCTAACAGATCGAATTCTTCCAATTCTGGTATGGGAAGAAGCGCAGATGGTTTCCTGATGGGTTGCCTATTGTGGTGATGTCGTTTCTGGTGAACGTAAGCAGGAGCAGCTTGACTGTATCTATTTGATCTACTGTATACTTGGCGTTCGACTGTAGGAGCAGCCGGAGATATGGGTTGAGGTATATCTGCTACTTTATTATTCCAAAGTTTCTGACGACAGAACTTAGTAGGTGGCAATATAGGACTGTTAGCAATATCCAACATGGCCTCCGGTAAATCTTTCGTCTCTTGAAGTACCGATGCTATAGGGCGCGCATTCTTGTAGATAGCGGAGGACGGAAGATGATGGACTTTACCTGGAGCGGACTGTTTGAGTCGAAGTATTTTTGCTCTGCATATAACACACCTGAGAGGCAGAACTCTCTGCGAAACTGCCATTTGGATGGTTCGGACGAAACACTTACGACAGACTACTTTATGACCGCATGGAAATGTCTGCATTGTTGCTTTGGCGCTGATACAGATGACACACTAGAAATATACAATCATTCATTTAAAAAAAAATTATACTTTAAAAGAAGGTGAACTCTGACTGTAACGTAAGAAATTTTGTTAAAAATTAAATTATTACATATGTTTTTTTTTTTCTGTCATTTTTATTCATTCCTATATTAAATTACCATTAGTAAAAGTTTATCTATGGTTAAAATAGTTTGCTAATTATCTAATATTAATTAATATAAAATTTTTTAACATAAAAATAATTATCAAATGTGCTTCGATATATATTTTAATTAATATTTATGAGAATAATTATATAATTCAAATTCTAAGAAGTTTCTTTTAATCGAATTATCAAACTATTCCAATGGCGAAGGAGGAAGCGTGTTACGCATCCATTAAAAGGAACAAGAGTTCATACCCTTCGAAATCTCATAGTAAATTCCAGATGGGAAAAAGGATTAGCAAACAATGTTTAAAATCTCTATCGAAAAGCACTAAAGTTTTCATACGTTGATGCACATTTCTGGAATATAATAACTAGTAACAATAACATATATTGCAGACAACGATCTTGTTTTGTTACAGTTAAACGTATAGGGTTTGGTTATAATGCATCCGGAGTTATTGATTTCATTACAATTAGATCTATTCAGATCATTAATGTATTATATATTAATAAATAATCACACGGATGTAAACATTAACGTTCTTTTAGAATCTATTAATATATTTTNTGCAGCTCACCAAGCTGCCAAAATCAATTTCAAAGGTAAGACTTTTCAATAACTCTAAGGAATTAATCTATATGTTAATAAATAATAAAAATATTATTTAATTTTTCTTTTATTTTTCAGCTGGAGGAAACACGGATCCAGAAAAACCAAAAATCGTATGTTACCACAGTGCTTGGGCACAATATAGACCAGAACCCATGAACTACGATATTGAAGACATTCCTGGAGATATGTGTACGCATATCATTTATTCCTTTATTGGTCTTGACGATAAAACATGGAAATTGAAATACATTGATCCTGAATATGATATCGAAAAGCGTAAGTTTGTTTAATATTCTCATTATGTATACGTTTCTACAAGATATTAAGAAAATATTTATAACAGAGGGATACAAAAGATTCATGGACATAAAGAAGAAATGGCCCGATGTGAAATTGATGTTGGCTGTTGGAGGATGGGACGAAGGTGGACAGAAGTATTCAGATATGGTGAGCGACAAGAGCAGAAGAGATATATTTATTAACAGCGTACTCGAAATAATGCAGCAGTATGGATTTGATGGTTTCGATTTGGATTGGGAATATCCAGGCGCTGCTGATAGACAGGGAAAATTTGCTGATAAAGATAACTTCTTAAAACTTGTTCAGGTGAAAAAGTTATTCAATAGTGTTAAAATTTATTATTGTGAAATATTTATAAAATATTTTAATATTTAGGAACTCAGAGCAGCTTTTGATCCACATAATTTGTTACTTTCGGCAGCAGTTCCCATTCCAAAATTTAGGCTGCAAGAAGGATATCATGTCAGAGAACTTGGGCAGTAAGTGCTGAAATTGAAATTATAATCATATTTACTAAAGAAATTTATATAATGATGTCAAACAGATTGATTTTTCTTAAAGGCTTCTTGATCAGATTCACATAATGTCATACGATTTACGAGGAAACTGGGCTGGTTTCGCTGATGTACACAGTCCTCTATACAAAAGACCCTTTGATGAATGGGCATATGAAAAATTGAATGTGGTACGTGTTATTGTAAATGAATTAAAACGTATAACCGAGAATAAATTTATTAAAATGATGTTATTTTCTTAGAATGATGGCCTTCAATTATGGGTTGATATGGGAGCTCCTAAACATAAATTAATCGTTGGCGTACCTTTCTACGGTAGAACGTATACTTTGGGCAGTAAAGATAACACGGATTTACGAGCCGGAATCAAGAAATGGGAAGAAGGTGGAAAAGCGGGACCTTATACCAATGCTAAAGGATTTTTAGCATATTATGAAGTTAGTATCAATTATATTCAATTAAATTATAAAATTTGAAATTAAATAAAATGATATTATGTAGATTTGTCCCCTGACTCAAAGTAAAAAGTGGACCGAAAAATACGACGACATTGGTAAATGTCCATACGCTTATCACGAAGATCAATGGGTTGGTTATGAAGATGAAAGAAGCATTGCCATCAAGGTATGTCCTGTCTTGTAAAATAATATTTAGTTATAAACTTTAAGCACTTTAAATGACAAATATATATTTTGTAGATGGATTTCATTAGAGAAAAGAAATACGGAGGTGGAATGGTTTGGGCCATTGATATGGACGATTTCCGAGGTGTTTGTGGAGAGAAACACGCATTATTAAAGGTCATGAATGAGAAATTGAAAGGTTACGTGGTACCTACACCCGATCCTAACGAAGTGATAACGGAACCTCCCAAACCTACGTGGTGGCGACCACAGACTACCACCATCGACCCTTCTGCACCACCTCCGACACCCAGACCAACACCACCACCCGGTGTAGTTGACTGCAGCAATCCACAATGGCAATATTTTCCTCACGAAAGTGATTGCAGCAAATATTATTGGTGCGTACGAGGAGAACCCATGTTGCAAGAATGTAAATCGGGCACAATTTGGGATACTTCAGCCAATATCTGTAATTGGAAGGAAAATGTAAATCGTCCTGAATGCGATTAAACGAAAAATTTAAAAATAAATCAAGAATAAGATTATTTTTAAATTAAAAGAAAAAAAATGTAAATAAATTAGTAATCTTGTTGAACTGACCCAATTCTTAAAACTGATTTTAAATAAAGTTTCATGACAACAACTGATTTATTATTTTTTTTTAAATATTTCTAGAATTATTGATTACATGTTANTTTTTTTTTTATGTTAAAAGTGCTTAATATTTTTCTACTGATTCAGTTGAAAATTAAAATTAATCTCAACATAAATTCAATAAGTATTCTACATGAATTAATTTTTATAGTTATAACAATCTTAGTAAATTTTGTAAGTAGAATATAATTTAGTATGAAAAGTTAATAAACATAAGTAATGTTCTATTTAGATAACATTCTAAGCAATACATAACATCAAAAGTGGAAATATTTACGAAAATTCATGAATATATATCTTAGTTAAGAGAGTAGAAATATTCAGAAATAAATATAGGGCCTATATTTTGCATATATTTCTTTAATTAATTGTCGTTAGATATTATTCTCTTTATAAAACTTTTCTGTTTAAATCTGTTCTGTTATTATTTATCTCGTAAATCTCCCTCTCTCTCTTTTTTTGAATTATTCAGCATCAGAAAAACCCATACAATTGAATTTAAATGTGTACCAAACTAAGAAATTTAGCATTTGAAAATCCGAATAATCTTGCCCGAATGTCGGTTTGCATTATTCAACTCTTAAGGAATACAACAACAAAAAAAAAATATGAAATAAAAACGTAAATTTTCTACATTACTATCGTCAACCCTCATCTTCCATGACCCTGAATGAACATGACATTGTTACGTATCAATCACCCATTAATCGATGAACTCCTTTTTTTTTTTAAATTCACGTTTCTTTCGTATGAATGCAATCAACTTATTCGAATCGATCTTTAATCTCAGCTTTAACATGTAATAAAAGACTTTCTCTTAACATCACCGCCCTTTAGCAACAGTTACGGAGTCATTTTGGGAATTCTATCCTTTAATAAAGCATTTAAAGTGCAAATTTTATTGCCGGCTTTAATTTCAGTTATAATAATTTTTAATATAAGAAAAATAATCACCTCATCGTCTCGCGAGGTTGCCATTTCTGGTTCGTGTTCTTCTAGTTTCACCAATAACTTATCCTAAGAAAAAAAAAAGCTCTGTTAAATTAACATTTTAAAAAAAACGAAACGTCGATGATAGATTATTTAAATTAAATAATTGAAAAAATTAATTTTATAAATTTAAATATTGAATTAAAACAGCAAAAATCTACAGTGTATGTATTATATTCGATTGTTTTGGAAACTGGAACGGATCGAATTGACCTTTGACTTTTAGTAGATTAGTTTTGTTCAAATGTTTCATCAAATAACATTCTTTTTTCCCCACACAAGAAAGATCGGATGATGAATAAAAATAAAAGTATATAAATAATGATAATTAACAAATTATCTTCGATTTTATAAGTTTTTACGAAATTCTCAACGAAGATTGGTTAAAAATTGACAAATCGGTTTCGAATTATAAAAACAATGTTACTTCTTAATAGCTGATTGGTTAACGAAATCGATTATTATTAATTCGCTTAATGTTTATTGGTTAATCGGCGGATTGGATTTGGATGGGAGTGAACTCGAACGGTAATTGGTTATAATATTTAAAAAGATTTTTTTATTGGTTTAAATCTTTTTTATTATAATAATACGAATAATTGATTATATTTTAATATTGTAAAGAATTTTAAATAAAATTAATTATAAATGTTATTAAATAATTAATATTTTCGTTATTCTTAATATACATCTAATACATTAATTACATTAAATTTGCATAATTTACATTAACGATCTGTTAAATATTATTATTGTTTACTTACATTAGGCTTGTTTAATAAATAATTAAAGAAGTAATACTTATTTGAAGCTGTTATAAGATGCACAGATTTTAGTATTTTTGGATGAATTCCAAAGAATAATAAACAACATATAGAATATTTTCCTTTAAATTCTCCAAACATCTGTTCCAAACCCACTTTTATTAAATTAACGAATTTTTGTCTCGGTAAAGATTAAATTTCATTTAAACGAGTTAAACATATTATACATTAAGTGTAGACTCTAAAATAAAAAAAAATTATCTTTTAAATTAGAAGTAAATGAAAATTTATTCAATTGTACAGAGTGTAACAAATTTCACTAAAAAATGAAATTAAACTTAGTTATATATCAGTATAACAGTAGATAAAACTTTATTTAATAGATTAAATATTAAATTATCGTAATTAATATGTAACAAGTTAAAATAAAACGTATAAGAGACGAACATTCCGACGTTAATGTTGTGTCAGTAAGTTAAATATTCCTTTAAAAAATTGATGCTTGTAGAGAACTTATATTATTAGATTGTATTAATTATATTGATTGGAGGTAAATAATTTATGAAATTTGAATATGTTGGTCTCGATTACGCACGGATGAGCTGGGAAATCACATAAGGTTCCATCGACTGTCTACAAAGAACTAAATATGGAAAATTATCGACTATTCTATTCAATATATACAACGTCAACTTGCTGTAAAAATAAAGAATGTTCTTTCTAATACCTCACAGAATTAATAAAATCGTCTCTTTCTTATCTTAACTTCTAATCTTTTTTACTTCAGTTAATACATAACTTTTATAAAAAGTAAACTCTTTCTCCTTATTCTTTACATAAAATTCAAGCAAAAAAAAAAATTCTAGTTTAGTTAATAGAAAATGATGTTGAAGTACAGTACGTTCTTTTTACTCTTTTTTTTCATCTTTAATTTTAGAAAATTAAACTTAATTTTAAAGGCTATAAACTTGAATTTTATTATTCGTAGATAGAAAATTATTGACACTTTAATGAATCAAGATAATCGCGTGATTGATGAGTCACCAGCAGGAAATTTTAGAGAAAGGAAGTATAGACTTCTAACGTAATAAATTATCATAGAGAGGCTTTGTTAAGAGAAAATAACACATATAAAAAATGTCTTAAAGAAAGAAAATCGATCGTTCTACTGATTTTTTTTATTGAGTGAACTTTTTAGATTGGTTTCTTCTTCTTCGTGTAATATTATAAAATTATATTCAACAAATATTTATCTATCAAATCACCAAATTAAATCGTATGTGCTTAAATTTATATTAAAAGATCGATTTACTAATGGAATTCTGATCTTTTCTGATAATTCCACTCTATGAATTTAAAAATAGATCTTACTTAACAGCTATAAAAATTTCTTACTCCTCTTCAGTGGCTTAAAATATATTACATAAATTTTTTCTTTACTTGATATAAATAAACTTCTATATGTTTATTATTCTTAATTTTCAATGTTTATAGAAGAATCTTACGAATTTAAAGAGAAAAATTTACTATTTTAAAATCTTAAATCTAACTTTAAATCTATGAATTATTATTATTATTATTATTATTGTTCAGAAATAAAAAAAAGAAGAGATATTTCATTCAAGACATCATACAAATGATGACGATTCTCATTCACAGTATCAAAAAGATGAAACTCTTTTCCTCCTCATCAACCGACGTTACTATGGTAACGGCATTCATCTTTATCTCAAAGATCGTCGTCATAGAAACCGTCTTACGAAGAGAATAATCCGGAATTATGTTTGTCTGATCAAATAAGGACAAAAATATTGAACTGAATTCGATTATTTGTCCCGAGAAAGGTAAAAAAAATATAAAATAATTCCCATAGAAAGAATATCTCTTTTTAAATTTGTAGTCAAACGTTGAAAATAGAATTCTTGTCTGGTTACGTGGTCAAATAGATAAATCGATTTTTTAACAAACATACTTTTATCCAGTTTTGAGACTTATTTCCTGAATTTTAAAGTTTTTTCATGTTCAACTCAGATTAATCTAGATGAATTTAAATATTTTTTTTATCCTTTAAAATACGAAGAGATTTATAGTGTTTATGAACGAATTCAGCATTTAAATCGACCGAACAGTCTAAATAATTACTTTAATGCATAAAAAACTGATGTTTAGATAAAGAACATGTTAAGAAGTTTAAAGAAGCAGCTATAAAAACCGTCGACAAGCAATTTATAATGCTTAATGGTCTTTCAAACAAACGACCTGTATCTAAATGCAGATAGATGATTCAGTTTCTTTTGGTTTTAGACAGAAAAAAACGCTATTATTTAAGTCCTAAATATAACGATTAAATTCGTTTTAAAAAGTAAGTTTAATTAGGTATCAATTGATATTAAAGAAGTTTTAACTGAGGTTTTCAGAGAGTTAAATTATACGAGAATATTGGACGTATTTACCAGGAATTGCATGCAATCGAATCATAAATACCGGAAGTTAAAGTTTTGATTTAAAAAAAAAATAAAGTATAAGATTTATAGTAAGAAAATATTTGGATAAGAAATTATTGCGGTTATAACACGCGATATTTTCATTTTTGATACAAATTTTGTCATTTAAACAATAAAAAGTCGATTAAGTGTAGTATGAAATAATTTGTAACACAATGATCATCACGTGTTAAGAGAGATGCGATTTATAGTTTTGACAGGCAGCTGCAATAATTTCGGTAGCCATGACATAGAGACACGCACAAAAAAAAAAATAAACAAACAATATCCTACTTACGATTTTGTGGTTGAGGTGAGCCAATTCTCTCTCCGCTAACTTTCTCTTGTTTTGTTCTTGCTTTTGACGTTTATATTCGTTGATTTTATAGGCCAGGTACATTCCTGGCAAGGCTAGGACCACAAATGGCTTCATCAGAGACGAATTCAAGCTTCTCGGCATCGCGAATGACGCGGCAAATGCCGGTCGCACCAGCGACACTTCTCTACTGGAATCGATGCTGTGCAGAATGCGGCTACATTACTTTCACGGATGCTTGTTGGATGGTTAAGTAGTGACGTTTAGTCACGTCACGGATCGATGAGACAAAAGGAGAAGCAGTCCACCGCCGCCAAAGAAGCATTTTTCACAGCTTAATCACTGCCCTTCTGTTTGGCTGGAAATAATCGGAAGTGGATGACTAACCCCATATAATACGCACTTCCGCTTCGTTTTATGGAACTAACATAATGCAATAGTCAAAACAACCGGTTGTAAGTACTGCAGATTTATTCATAAGATATAAATCGCATTAATCTTTTATATATATAGATAAAAACTTCATTTGAAATATTCATTTGCTTACGTAAATCAGTCTTTCCCGTTATACAACTGAGTCACGCGGGAAAGCCGAACCAGGAGATGAAACTTCTTTTTTAACGGAAATTATTCCACGTCCGATTTATAAGTATTTCATTTAGACAAATTTACATCTGAAACAATAATATATTTTAATAGAATATTCAATTATCAAGAAAATTTACATTTTGAGCGTAGGAGATGATCTACTTGATACAAGACGTTATATATTTTCCAGTTCCCATTACGAAACTCCTACGACTTCATCTCGGGATAAAGCTTTTAATATAATTTTCTAGAAAAATACTTTAGAGCACATCTCGTGAAAATTTTCAACCCATTCAGTAAAATATATTCAAGAAATAAGAAGAAGAAGAAAAAAAAAAAAAATCTTAACACATCACAAGAATATAAAAAAAGGAATTTAAAGAGTGAAGAAAAAGAAAAATCTATGACCTTTAGGAAATGTTTAAATATTAAAAATTCTAAAAATATATTAAGTTTAAAAGTAAAGAAAATTTTGATGATTTTATAGACATTTTGGAGTATCCTGAAGTAAATTTCAAATATAAAAGTCAAGGAGTTAATAATAAATTATCCAATATTTCATAATTTTTTCTTTTTAAGCGTCTGTGTTTGCTCGACCGTGAATTAGATTAATGAAACGAAGCGACATTTTTAATGAGTAGGAATATCTTTATTTTTGACGTAAGGCACTTTCATAATCATTAATTTAATGGTTTGTGTCGACTGAAGTAAAAATTGGCCTAAAGTGCTGTTTTGGCACATCAAAAGTTTCTATTCTCATCGCCGTTGACGTCAAAATATATTTTATTTAATTGTTAATATAATGTGTTACTTTTAGAAATTATTTCTAAGATTTTTGTATTTATATTAGTTTTTAAAATGGTTGAAAGATAAAACTGAAAACATGAATACAAAAAAGAAATATGTTTGCCAAATGTAAATTTTTAAAATTGATAAATTAAATATAAAAATAGATTTTATAGTAAAAAGTTATTTATTCGCTATAAATAGATTTGTTGCTGGAGGTTTTTCTCAATGGACAGAATTTATTTTAATAAATTTTGTAAATGTTTAAAAATTAATCATATATTAGAAAAAAACAATATTACCTTTCTCTGTGTAAATTTCTATCCAATGATCTAATTAAATAAATTTCTAATTATTTATAATTCATGAATTTGTAATTAATGATTAAATTTTAATTTTATAAGTATATTTTAATTACTAGTAATGTTTGGTTTCATTATAAATTAATTATTTGTTGATCAAACAAAGTTGTTATAAAAATAAAATTGTGCAAACTAACAATTATGGAACGGTTATTAGTATCTAATATACTGTATATTATAAAGAAAAGTTATATCTATAATAAAATATTTCTTATAAAAATATCCTTAATTAAAAAAAAAAACATATACATGAATACTATAAATATTTAAAAATTCAGACAAATTCATAAAAAATTGAACAATAAAAATTTATTGATGATATATCAATATCCTAGCACATGAAAACATGATGCACATTATCTTGATGTACATTATAATACAATGATAATAGTTAATAGAAATTGTTTCCATTCAGTACTTTGATATCTTTCAAACTGATTAATATTTTAAGATTTTCATTATTCAAACAGCATTTTTATCTACTGTCCTTCAAAGACCATTTTGACATTATTCATTCTGGATGTTACAAAGTAAATAAAAAAAGTGGCCTATGATTATGCAAAGATTTTCTCTTCTCTTCTCTTTTTTGTGACTACGGTACCCGGTTTATGCTGAGCATCCGGATGATTAGCTAATTCGGGTGGACAAGTTGATACTGGACTACTCAAGATGCATTGTTTCATATCATAAAATAAATGTGAATCCTCTTTGGTCAAAAATGTCACTGCCACGCCATGTTTACCCGCTCGTCCGGTTCTTCCGATACGATGTGTATAATCTGAAAAATAATACAGATTTTAATATTTATTAATGTCCATTATTAGAAACTAAAGCCTATAGATTATGTATACCTTCAATTGATTTTGCCATGTCATAATTAATTACTAGCGACACATTTCGGATATCGATACCACGTCCGGCAACGTCTGTTGCTACTAAAATATCTTTTGAACCACTCTTCAGACTTGCTAAAGCATATTCTCTTTGCTCTTGTCCTTTACCACCATGAAGAGTACAAGCATTATACTAAAAAAAATAAACAACAGTTAAAATAAAAAAGTGCTCTAAAATTAAAAATTTTACTTCTATTTTAATTATTAATATTTTATTAGTTTTATACTACTACTACTACTACTACTAATAATAATAATAATAAGGATAACAAATTAAGTATTATATTAATAGTAAATATAATTAAAATTTAATATAATTTCACAGCTGTAATTAATAAATTTTCTTACTCCCATTTTTTCTAATCCTCTAGCAAGAACATCAGCTCCTTTTTTCTGATTAACGAAAATGATAACAGGAGGTTCAACACCTTGTTCCAATATTTCTAATAATTTACGTCTAGAAAAAAATTAATTCATTTTAATAAAAGAGGAATAAAATAATATTCAAAACTTATTAATGTAAAATATTTTAAGGACTACACTTACCTCTTCTCACTTTCTGCAACTAAGTATACTATTTGTTCCACTCTCTCAGTAGGTTTACCTGCTGATCCAATATATACCACAGCTGGACGTCGCAGATATGACCTGGCCAATCTTTCAACAGCTGGAGGCATAGTAGCTGTAAACATAACAGTCTATAAAAAAAAATAATTTATTAAAAACTTGTGTTTAAATTACATCTATACCTATTCTAATCACATTAAAAAGAAAAGTTCTTACTTGTCGATATTTATGTTTGGTCATAAAATTAGCTAACATTTTTTCTTCATCTTCAGCATCTTCGTTATCTGGTTTCTGATTAGTAACGGGCATGTAATCTAAAATTTTCTGGACATCAGGTTCAAATCCCATGTCAATCATTCTATCTGCCTAAATATAAATGTAATAACAATTATTTAAATGAAAATATTTAATTACTTGTATCAATATATAACATTAATCAAATTTCAATTAAAACAGTTTTTTCAAAAATATTCCGACTAAGAACCAGCACCTTTTTCATGATTTTTCTTGAGATATACTGTACTTCAAATGAATTTATATATCTGAGGTATACTGTAAAGTTACCTCAAATAAAAATTATATAAAATTAATCCAATATTTCATAATTTTTTCTTTTTAAGCGTCTGTGTTTGCTCGACCGTGAATTAGATTAATGAAACGAAGCGACATTTTTAATGAGTAGGAATATCTTTATTTTTGACGTAAGGCACTTTCATAATCATTAATTTAATGGTTTGTGTCGACTGAAGTAAAAATTGGCCTAAAGTGCTGTTTTGGCACATCAAAAGTTTCTATTCTCATCGCCGTTGACGTCAAAATATATTTTATTTAATTGTTAATATAATGTGTTACTTTTAGAAATTATTTCTAAGATTTTTGTATTTATATTAGTTTTTAAAATGGTTGAAAGATAAAACTGAAAACATGAATACAAAAAAGAAATATGTTTGCCAAATGTAAATTTTTAAAATTGATAAATTAAATATAAAAATAGATTTTATAGTAAAAAGTTATTTATTCGCTATAAATAGATTTGTTGCTGGAGGTTTTTCTCAATGGACAGAATTTATTTTAATAAATTTTGTAAATGTTTAAAAATTAATCATATATTAGAAAAAAACAATATTACCTTTCTCTGTGTAAATTTCTATCCAATGATCTAATTAAATAAATTTCTAATTATTTATNATAAATAATATGACCAATGATAAGCACATTAACTATCATTAATCAATGACATAAAGATCTGTAAACGTTTTTGCTTATTTACATTTGATTATTCTTCAACTTTAATTTTTTATTTAAAGAAATTCTGATTATTAAAATAGACAATAGTATTTACATAAAAAGTTAAGTTATCTATCTAATTTAAATTACACTAAAGCATTACTTTAAACCAGCAGTTTCCAACCTGTTCCAATCTATTTACCTTTTCATGAAAATGTTCATATAAATTGCCCCTTAAATGTCCATAAATTTTTAACAAAAAAATTTTGTCAAATGATTTTCAATGGTTGCTTCATAACCACTGATTTTTAATTATTAATTTAAAATTTAAAGTACTATGACACTTATTTTAGTAAATGAAATACAAAATTAGTTGATAGAAAAGAAAGATTAGATTAACAAAACTGAACTCAGATCTTCAAAAATGTATATATCAAGTTCTATATAAAATTAAGCAAGCTTTATGCTTTATAGTATCTTTCAATCTAAAATTTTGAATATCCTATGTAAAAATGTAGGCGATTAAAAGTTTTCTGGATTTTTAAATTGTCAAACTTGTCAATTTAAAATTACATTTCACAGCCATTATAGATTTTTTTCAGTCTAGCTATTTTTCATTAATCTCTAGTATGTGTATTCTGGTTGGGAAATGCTAGTTTAAATGCATAATATAATTTTTTAAAATAGTTTTTGTAAAAATTTACAAAAACATATTACTTTTTCCACAATATATAACTTTTCATAATAAAATAAGTATTAAAAGTATGTTGTCTCTTCTATAATCACTGTCAAAATTATGATATTTTACTCAAATTTTTAAAGCATATCTGGCAACTTCCAAACAAAACATAATTTTTTTTCTATAGTAATTTCTTATTCAAATATTTGGAAATTTTTATAAATATCGTTTTGAGAATAATATTAAATTATTTTGATACATATCTTATCAAAATTTAATAAAAAACCCAAAGTATTTTAAAAATAAATAATAAAAGACAATCCTCAAAATAGCTGTATACAGAAACAGCAAAAATCTTCCATTTCAGATATTCATTAAACATTTATTATGAAGTAGTGTTTAAAAATGTTCTGTTTACAATAAAAATGCTTTTCTTTTTTTATTTTCCACACTATAACAGCATTTGAAACATTAAATTTTTTTGCAATTGCTTTCCACTGACAATATCATGCAAATAATATAATATTCTCTGATAAGTAGGACACTATTTCATACTTTAGAATATCTGATTAGCCTAAAATGCAAGATCAACTGAAGTAGCTTGTTCCACTATATTAATATTTTTGTCTTTTTTCTTATGTTTATTTTCTTAAAAATTAACTGTTACACATATATCCTGGTGTGGAATGGCATGTTTATGAAGAAATCATCATCTTTAGAAATTTAATAATATAAAATATTATGAAAAAAGTAATAAAATCTATATATATATATATATATAAAAATGGACATGTATGTCCCTATATCTCACTTTTTCGCCAAAACTACACATCGCACGTGAATGGTGTTTGNATGTATATATATATATATTTTATTTTTTGGATTATATATGTTTAAAATTTTTACATTATTTAAGTCTATAAATCTCAAATGTTGCATGTTTTCTATATATAAACCAGTAATTATAAAATTAATGATTTATACCTTGTGTAAATTTACATATTATTATTAGCATTTGTGGGATTTAAATTATTAAAAACATAAAAATTTAATTCTTTACACATTAAATATTTTTCGATTTTCAACATATTTTATAATTTTGTATAAATTATTAAAAATTTTAGTTAAAGCCATGCATAATATAAACTTCTGGTATTTTTTCACTGTAGAAATAGTTTTTAGAAAGATAAAATATAAAAATATATTTTTAAACAAAAACAAAGACATATTTTTGCTTCAAATTTTTAATTAGCCAAATCCTAAAATCTTTGTTGACTGTCATCCAAAACTTTTAAAAAAGTTGGAATTTTTCCATAAAAATTATACTGAGATGGAGGTCAAATAAAAAAAAGATAAAATAAACTGTATTAATTATATTTATTATATCCTTTCTTATTTAAGTAAAATTAAAGAGGTCCAAATAAAAATATATTGTTTTATATTTAGGTTTTATCTATTTAGTTTATATTTGAATTAACAAACAGATATGTTTATAATCAATACTGGTAAGTATAGCTATTACCTATTTTTATAAACAAATTATTTTAATCTCAATACATATTAAAACTGTAAAGTTATAAATAAAAGTAATGATTTCATTTTAATATAATTCTTTAATTTGTATTTAAGAAACACAAATTAATTAAATTTACAATTAACTGATATTCATTAATGCTGATTTATCAACATTATAGATTTTATATATTTTTGAATTTGAGTTTTTCTTTGAATAATTTTGTTTATATACTGCATACATTTCTATGAATTTAGTATACTTAATGAATATATTTGTTTAAAAAATATATAATACCCATATTAAATACAAAGATTATAAAATGTGTAAATAATACAATAATTTGGTAACTATTGCATTAATTCAAATGATAAAATTTTCCTTTAAAGAAATGATTCATTAACAACCATTTATTCCATTTTACGCAAGTTTCTATTTGTTGGGTGATATAACATTTTCTACTTACTTTTCTACCCTTCAACTTTTTAAGCTAAACTTATATATATTCCATATTTAAACATCTCTATCAAGATGCAAATGTCATTAAAACTGTAAAATATGACAATTTCATTTAGGTTGTGAAGAGTTAACAGAACATGAGCATTTTAGGGAATCCCTATATCATATATATTCTACAAGATTATGAAATAAAAGAAAAACGTATATGTTGTAATATGAAGAGTTTAGTGATGCTGTGAATCAAACTTGGTACAACAAGAAATAGTCCAGCTCACAGCATCACCCAGAAGTTTGGCAATGCCACAACATTGTCAAACTTCTTAAGAGTTTTACCTTGTTTAATTACTCTGTGTAAATCAGTTGATAACATGCTACTAGCTCCTTTTGACTATTATTTTTGAAATATAATGTACAGCAACTTCAAATTATGTAAATTTATACTAAGTTTGAGTTAACTATATTTTTAACATTAATTTAAAACATGAATCTCAGAAATGTTCTAATTATACAATAATCAAATTAATTTGACCTAACTGTAATTCATTTCAAAATTTGAAAATTCCAATTTAAAATGTGACATATCAATAGTAAAGAATAAACTTACTTCATCCAAAACAATGTAAGTGCAGCGACTTAATACTAAGTAACGATTTTCTAGCACATCAATCAAACGACCAGGAGTAGCAATTACAATCTGAAATTAAGAACAAATGTCAATTATGAAAAATCTTACTCAACAACACAAATACATATACTTATTACATACTTCACATCCAAGACGTAATCTAAAACCTTGTTCTTCTCTTGATAAACCTCCAATAACAGCCACTGTACGAATTTCTAACATTTTAGCAAATTTAATTGTTTCTTCTTCTATCTGTTGAGCCAATTCACGTGTAGGTGCTAATATTATAGAATATGGTCCTTGATCCACATCTTCAACTCTAATAACAGATAGAAATATATTCAGATAAATTTGTGCTAAAAATGCATTTCAATTCAACAAGTTAAAATAAAATGGTATGATACCTTTCAATTTTTGGTAAAGAAGTAATCCATACCAATAAAGGAATAAGAAAAGCTAGAGTTTTACCACTGCCTGTCTCTGCAACACCAATTATATCTCGATTCTGTAGACCAATGGGAATAGCTTGTCTTTGAATAGGAGTAGGTTCCTAAAGTTCATAAATAAATTTAAAATATTTTAAAAGATTATACATATATATATATATATGTCTATATAATATAAGTATAAAATTATATATAGTTTTATTATGCAGAAATCATATTCTAATTTACATTATGAGACTTTAAATGTGAATACAATACTTAAAATTGTAAAGAATTATATAATAATTAACACATTATAGAAATTCTTAATATTTAATAATATTAATAATATAGACATTCTTAATAGAATTTATATATCAGAAACTATTTCTTTATCTAATTTATTTACACTTTAATGGCAAGATTATTAAAATATAATCTCATTCAGAGGAATAATAAATAAATGAGGAAAACTTTTTAAACTTCTAGAGCTTTTATGAGTCTGAAAATATGAAAAAATTATTTAACAGATTGTAGATATATAATATGATGTCATTAAATATAAATATTTTTGCCAAAGGAAATCAAGTACCATTTTCAACACTAATTAATTTCAATACTTAATATATGGAAGATAAGAGAACTTTGTGCTGGTCTTATGTGTTGAATAACACAGGGCGTACTAATACTAAATATAATGATTTATGCAAAGTTAAAAACTTTCACTAAAATCTGATCACTAAATAAAATAAATAAATTTTCTTATTTAGGTTAAAATTCAGAAATATCATTTAAAAGTCACTCATTCAACTTTCCTTATCCAAAATGGTATTCAAAAACAAACAAACAGCATAAATCACCTCAAAAGTGAGTGTGAAATGAATGAAAAATGGAAGAGAGCAAAGCCATTGGAAGCCAGAAGCTCCCTGAAATCACACTCAAATGAAAGATTTTGTGTTTACTTCCAAATTCTGTAAATATTGTATTTCTTTATCATTGAATACAAGAAAGCTAATTGGATCAGCATTTCTATGACAGAAGAAAAAAAAGAGAAATTGTGAGTTAAATTGGTCTATCTCAAAAACCTCTTTATCTCAAAATTTATTTTTTCCTCTAAATTCATGTTTATCTTGAATAAATTTCTCCAAAAACCTCTATATCTTGAATTGTTAATGACAAATTCAAAGCTCAGCAACTACGTTTTGATTGAATTGAAATTCAATTCAGTAGCAAAGCAAAAATTGTAGTTTAGAAACATTTCTTACAATACAATACATAGTTTCAATTAAAACTGCTTTTCCCTGATTGACTACATGTTTGACTTGTGCCTTATTGGTTATTATCATGGTGACATGTTAGAACAGATTTTAATGTACTTTTCTTGACCAATGGCATTTTTGACATCCTTTAAGTTTGTGATTGCAAAAGAAAAGCAAATAGCTGGTGAGAGAAGAAAGTTGAATGTTTTTTCAATTGGAGAAAAAATGAGTCTTAAAATTTTTGGATGAAAATCCTTAGATGAAAAAGAATGAAGTTGTGACCAAATTTGATATTCCATTGAGTACAGTTTCAACAATAATAAAGAACTGAGTATCAATAGAGAGAAACTTTAAAAACAATGTGAATGTGAAAAAACCAAAATGTGAAAAACCCCAAAAATGTGAAAAAACCAAAAATGTTTTTTCAAGAAATAGATGAATATGTAAGAAAATGGTTTGTGCAATATTGCAACCAAGGAATTCCTCTTAGTGGAATAATGTTACAAAGGAAAGTTGAGGATTTTGCCAAAAGACTTGGCCATAGCAAATTTAAAGCCAGCAACAGGTAACTTGAGCTTTAAAAGTAGACAGAACATTGTCTTAAGCAAACTTAGTGACAAAAGTGTGTCTGTGCCTCAAAGTGTTTGTGAAGAGTGACCCAAGGCTTTCTCTTGTTTAATGCTACAAGTCAACAGATGTCTTTAACACAGATAAAACAGGCTTTTCCCTCCCAACCAAAACAGGTATACAGTACTCAAGAGACAAAAGTGCCAAGGTGGAAAACTGTACTGTACATGTAACTGTACTCTTAGCAGTTAATCAAACTGAAAGTGAAAAACTTCCATCACTGATGAGTGGTCATTCTGCAAGTCCAGTTGTTTCTCAAAAGTGAAATTTTTTCCTATAACATACGAAACAAACTAGAAAGCTTGAATGACAAGTAAAATCTTAAGTGACTAGTTGAAAGGAACTGATAAATCTGAGTTTAAAAAAAAATTCTTCTTTTGGTCGATAACAGCAATGCTCATTCCAACCTCCCTACTTTAAAAAACATTACTATAAGATTTTTGCCTCCAAATACCACTTCTGCAACCCTTGATCAAGGGATCATTCAAAGCTTCAAAGTGGGATACAGAGGAGAACTGGTTTGAAAACTTCTAGATGTTACAAACAATGGCAATATCCTTCCCACTATTAATGTTTTGGATGCTACGAGGATGATAGACTATGCTTGGAGGAATGTTACACAAAGGACAACCAAGAACAGTTTTCTAAAAGCAGAGTTTAAGCAAAGAAATAATGAAGAAGAGGAACAACAACAAAACACCATTAACATGAAAGACATACAATCCAATGAAGTAAATTTAAAAAGTGTGGATAATTGCCAAAGAGGATCACATAAATTCACCTAACTTATTACCACAAAAGAAGTGGAAAAGGTCATTGAAATGATAACTTTCCTTGAATGTCAGGAAGATATTAGTCAAGATTCATTCATGACTATTGCTTACCTTCAAAAACTTGTCCAGTCAAAAAAAAAAAAAAAAAAAAAACCATCAGAAATTATTGACAACTATTTCTGCTAATGAATGTCAAAAATGTTTATTTTTACCTAATACATGTATGTACTGTACATGCTGTACTGTATAGCACCTCAAATCAAACCTATTACTGTTTACTGCATATGAACCTCTCTATCTCAAATTTTTTTATTGTTCCTGTGAGATTTGAGGTAGATAGGTTCAATTGTATAAGCAATAAATTCAATTCAGTAGCACAGCATACATTTGTAAGCACAAGTTGAGTTTGAGACTAGAAGTGCTTAGAATATTTGCAAATTTGCATCTGATTTGACTAATATAGATCAAATCAGACTAATATATTCAAATTGTAAATAAAACAAAAATTTTCATATGTCAATATAAATATAGTAGAGCCTCGAAAACTCTGCCTAATGTGGACCGAAGGGCGGCCGAGTTTGTGAAAATGCTGGGTTATCGGGAATGGGGTTAAAAAAACTAAGTATGAGTGTTTCCTCAGAAAATACTGTACTATATTTGTATGTATTATTTACTTGAGAATACAACAGAGAATAAACTGCCCAAATACCCTTAAACAAAGGAAAAGTACGACCTTTATGAAGGCATAGAGCCTTTACTACATGAAAATGAAAATTAATGAATACACTGTGTACAGTAATTTACCTGATAAGACAGACCCTAGAAAAATACTTTATGAGGCATAAAGCTGTCTATAATGAAAATTAATTAACTAAGGATTTTTTCCCTGCCAGGGTATGGCCGTGTTATCCGGAGTGCCGGGTTATCGAGTGCCGCGTTTTCGAGGCTCTACTGTACAATTTTTTAAATGTACCTATCTTAGATAACTGAAAATATTTTAAAACGATATTCACATAAATGTGTTAATTGATCTGTTAAAAAAATGCATATTTACTAAAATTTTGAATGTACAGGAGCTCCCTTACTTACAAACAATTTGACCATATATCTAAAATTAAAATTTTGTGTGAATTTTGAAGTTCACAGGTGGTATTGAAGTCAGTCTTTGGCCAGTAATAAATAAAAAATTTTTAATAAATAATTATTGTGGACTTATTTCTATTGAATATCATCATTTTCATTTTCACATGAATACTGAAGTTCCATTGCCAATTGTGATGTGGTTGAAATTGGTAATTGTTGGAGTAATGGCATATTTTACTACTGTTTGCAATTTTTATAACTTTTATGACTAGTGCTTCAAAAATGAAATAGTAAATCTAGTTGTGGAGATAAATGCAAGATTATTACCATAGAAATTAAACTCGACATTATAAAACTATGTGTGTTAAGTGAAAAAAAACTGTTTGAAACACCTGCTACTAAACAATAGCAAGTAGGTAAACAAGCATAATGTATTCTATTAAATATATTGAAGGATCAAACACTAACAATAAATTATTATTCTGTTTACAAATGTATTTTGTAAATTAGTTTTTGACTTACAACAAAACCTTGGAAATCTAACCTGTTTATAAGTAGAAGAGTGCCTGTATTCCAGTAAACATATGTTAAAAATTGGGGTCAAACTACACAAAACAGTGATTAAAGTTCATCAGTGGGTGGTCAGTTAAAAAACTTGTAGAAGACTATAGGTTCTTTAACAATATATAGAACTCTATATAGAAGGTTGAAATTATTTACAAATTAGACTATAATAACTTTCAATGTGCTGTAGGTACTTGTTTAGAAATCATATATGCTAAATATGGCAAAATAGCATAATAGAATAGAAGACACTAAACAGGAAGTGAAGGATATCTAAAATACCATGCAGAAACATCTAGAAGTGTTCATTTTTCCTTACTTATTGGGACCTTTGTAATTAAACTTCTTACATGGGAAAACTTCTAATGTAATTCTTCTTAACAGATTTCTACTATATATCATTTTTTATATACCAAGCACTTTCAGGGCTGTGTTTCATCTTCAGGGTTTTATTATTTAATTAACTGTATGATAAAATCCTAAAGATGGAGCAAAGCTAAGAAAGCACCTGGTAAATAGAAAACACTATATTTTGCTCTCTGAGCAAAACAGTGTATGGTATGAAAACAAATTTAAATTGAAAAAATCTGTGTAAGTTCAGAATCTGAATAATTCTGTTAATGTATATTTTTGGAATAGCTTAATTATATTATATGTGAATCATATATATATATATATAATAGTACAGTGTGGAGCAATAAATTATTTTTATTATATTATAACCTCGGATGAAAAAGTAAGTCTTTCCTATTCTTTCATATAAAGAAGTGAAAGGAAGAGTTTATAAAATTTTGATCATTTGTAATCATTTTTATTAATGATTTTCAATATCAATCAATCACTATATAATCTCAACTCAATATCTATATTTTTTTCATATAAATAATATGCACTATGATTCATGTTATCTGAAAATAAATCTATAAAAATATCATATTTACCTTATAACCTAATTGTTCAATAATATCAAGTATTACTTTAGGTAGAAAACACTCTTTCCAATGCCTTATAGGATTAGGAATACGTCCTCCTTTAATAGCAATATTAAAATCTTCTCGAAAAATACGCCAATCTCTTTCTGTCATTTCTTCCAATGTTTTCTGAGTCCAATGTCTATCATCCCATTTTTGTTTATCTTCTTTTTTCTTTAATTTTTTTAAACGCAATCTGCAATTTTGCAGATTAAAATAATAAATTTCAGAAATACTGCATTTCACTCAAAGAAAAATAAAAAAAATTTTCTCTAAATTAGTTTTTGGAAAACTTATGCTTAAATACTTTATCCTAACACTTTCTGATTATTTTGCTGATAAATTTACATAAAATTTTAAAAANTGATGGAACACAATGCCCTTTCTGTTGGCTAATTCAGGTTGCTTCTGGTCAATTGCTCGCTTTAATTCACTTAGTTGTGAACAGTATTTCTCTGAATTAATAGTCTGATTTTCAGGTAACAGCTCATAATAAATGATTACCTTCCAGTCCCACCAAATGCATAGCATTACCTTCTTTGGGTGTAAACTGGCTTTTGCACTGGTTGAAGGGGCATCTCCGTGCTTACACCATGATCTTTTACGCTTAACATTATTGTACACAATCCATTTTTCATCACCTGTAATGATCGCTTTAAAAATGGATCGATTTCATTGCGCTTCAATAGAGAATCGCAAGCAGAAATTCGGTCTATCATATTTTTTTCTGTTAACTCATGCGGCACCCATACATCGGCCTTGCTAACCATTCCAAGTTGATGTAATCGCCTTGACACTGTTGACTGATTGATTCCAAGAATTTCGCCAATCTCTCGAGTTGTTTTGTGTCGATCACTTTCAATTAGTGCCAATATTTTGTCGTCATCAGCCTCGGCTGGTCGTCCAGAACGTGGTGCATCGCTAAGGTTAAAATTGCTTTCACGAAACTTTCTAAACCACTTACGGCACGTGGAATCATCAATGGCTCCCTCACCATACANAGATGGAGCAAAGCTAAGAAAGCACCTGGTAAATAGAAAACACTATATTTTGCTCTCTGAGCAAAACAGTGTATGGTATGAAAACAAATTTAAATTGAAAAAATCTGTGTAAGTTCAGAATCTGAATAATTCTGTTAATGTATATTTTTGGAATAGCTTAATTATATTATATGTGAATCATATATATATATATATAATAGTACAGTGTGGAGCAATAAATTATTTTTATTATATTATAACCTCGGATGAAAAAGTAAGTCTTTCCTATTCTTTCATATAAAGAAGTGAAAGGAAGAGTTTATAAAATTTTGATCATTTGTAATCATTTTTATTAATGATTTTCAATATCAATCAATCACTATATAATCTCAACTCAATATCTATATTTTTTTCATATAAATAATATGCACTATGATTCATGTTATCTGAAAATAAATCTATAAAAATATCATATTTACCTTATAACCTAATTGTTCAATAATATCAAGTATTACTTTAGGTAGAAAACACTCTTTCCAATGCCTTATAGGATTAGGAATACGTCCTCCTTTAATAGCAATATTAAAATCTTCTCGAAAAATACGCCAATCTCTTTCTGTCATTTCTTCCAATGTTTTCTGAGTCCAATGTCTATCATCCCATTTTTGTTTATCTTCTTTTTTCTTTAATTTTTTTAAACGCAATCTGCAATTTTGCAGATTAAAATAATAAATTTCAGAAATACTGCATTTCACTCAAAGAAAAATAAAAAAAATTTTCTCTAAATTAGTTTTTGGAAAACTTATGCTTAAATACTTTATCCTAACACTTTCTGATTATTTTGCTGATAAATTTACATAAAATTTTAAAAAATTAATGAAAAATATATTCTTATAAATTTATATTCATTATTTGATTAATTGATAATATAAATTGAAATAATCACATTTCTTGTTCTTTTTCAGCTAGAGTTCTTCTTTTCTCCAAAAGTTCTCCATAAAATTTTGATTGCTCTTTTTTTTGTGACTGAAAGAAAAAGTTGATAATTCTAGATATAATTTAAAGTAACCATTAGAACTGATTAAAAAAAACAAAACAAAAATTAAGTTTATTTTAAAAGTAAACCAGCAACATTTAAAATTTTGGTGGCACCATCTTTGTTCATATTTTATTAAAACTTTTCATATTTCTAACTATTATAAAATGGCAAAAAGCTTAAATATGAGGGTAGGGATGGGTTTTATAAAAAAATGGTAAATGCTAATAATGAATAAAATTGTCACTAAGTCCGATCTTACTGGAGGTACACATGACCCACATAATCTCCCCACCACCTCGATCTTTAACCACCAAAATTTAATAGCATCAATCCCTAGTAAACAAACCTCCCTGCAAAATTTCAGAAATTTTCAACAAAATGCACATGTTATTAAGCTTCAAAAAGGTTAAACAAAATTGTGATCCCCCATACACAAACAGCCATACATACAGAAATTACACCCGAACATTTTTGCATTTCAAGGTATCCTGAGCACAAAATTGTAAAGTCATTTTTTGCCTGATTTCCATACTTTCTCTCTGTTATAATAGCTGGTTAAGTAATAAATAAACTTAATTTTTAATGAAAAAGTTTTTAAATTATTTATTTATTTATTTTAATGAAGTTTATTTAGTTTTAAAATAAATTATGTTTCTTGGAAGACTAAAATAATTAATAAAATGAACTGAATTCTTAAATCAATTATATTAAAAAGCAAGTACAATCAAACTTCAATTTTTACAGATTTGATTATATGTAAGTTGGCTATCAATAATTAAATGAAGAAAATTAAAAAAAAATTCAGCAACGAATTAGTTGCATTTCCTAGCAACATTTAAAATTTTGGTGGCATCATATGTTACATTTTATTTTAAATGAGCAATTGTCACAATGCTGGGTTGCAATTTTTAATCATATTTTTAATTTATTTAATTTAAAATATATACTCTCCATCTCAAATTAGTACTGTATTGTCTTTTCCCTGTACATCATACTTTCCTTGAACAACAGAGTTGTGCCAGTCATCTATCTAACACTTTTCAGGAGAAAATTTCTGAATTGAAATAACACCACTTCCTGTTTGCATTGGAAATACATATATAGTTAATTGGGGTCTCCTGCTTCCAAGCTTTCTATATCTGGTCTTAACTTTCATCTTTCTAATTCCATTCTTGAGATTAAAGAAAGTGAGTGGGAATTTATAAGTCTAAAATTTTTACAAATTGTAGCCCAAAAATAGCAATTTCAATCACATGCAGGACCATCACAAGCTATCCAACACAGATCACTTTTCAAATATTAATTAGTAGTTGTTGACCATCCTCTCTTCCAGGAGGAGGTCTACTACTACTTTTGGTTGAATTAACTTAAACTTTCTTCCACAACATATCCTTTCTTCCTATCAGACAGCAGTATCAGGGCATTTAAATAGGAAAATTACATAATACAAGATTACTGCCAAACACAAAATTGCCATTTGATATTTGACTGTGAATGAAACAGTTTTTAGAGCTAACATTAGAAAAAAGTATATTTTAAATAACTTAGCTTAATAACACATTCAATTGCTGTCTACTTGATCAATGAAATTGTCCATTTCGTACCATCCAAGTATTGCGATAAACATGACAATGGTAGACTAAAATATTATAGTATTTGATTTATATAACTACAAAGGTTATCTTATGTAAGGATTTATCACACTAAGTGATCAATCTAACACATTTTAAAAATTCTTTATTCCTCTACTGTACACAATTTAAAGAATAGAATCAAACTTCAAACATTCTAGAGTTCAAATGTTAAATTTGAGAGAAATTCAACCTGGAATTCATATCAATGGTGTTAAAATAATACCATGACTTTCAATTTTGTTTAGTTTCTTTTTATTTATCAATCATGAAATTACAAATCTCCAGTACTAAAACCATTCTTCTCCAGATAAACCTGTATGGAGAAGAATGGCTTTGGTACTGCATGTTTTCAGAAGTGCAATTTAGAATCTCATTGACAATTTTACTGATTTCATTCTGTTTTTCTTAGTGCATTAGTGTTAAGGTATACTCAATCTGTAATAAATTGCCAGAAAAAGGAATCAATCAACTATAGAGGGCATTTCTATTATTATCTAATGTGAGATCTCTGTTCAAAATGAAACGAGGTAGTAAGTAGTCAACTCAATATTTTTATTTTTCACTTATCAATTCCTAATTTATAATATGGATTTCATTCCTTATGAATAATCATGTATGTAATTATATAGTAAAAATAAGATAATAAAAATATTGAAATTAATTTACTTTTAAATCTATTCCTGCAACATGTCCTCTTCCAAAAAATTGAACAGTGTGTCTCTCTTTATAAATTGGATTATAATCAACTGAAGTATCTTCTGATGCATCCCAATCAAATACAAATTTTCTATCATTCAAACGTCTCACTCTTCTTTTCTTTTTAATTAAGCCTAAATATCTTTCCTAAAATTTAAAATTATAAAAAAAATTAGGATTATATTTACATTTTCTTTATATTCAATATGTTTAGTTAAATGTATCAAAATTAAAATGCAATTTACTTTTTATTTAATATTGTTCATAAAAATTAAGAACTTGAATAATTTTATAAAGTTATAAAGTATTGAATAATAAAATTTTCTGATAATTTAACTTAAATTAACTTCATGCAATAATAAAATATAGAAATTTACAATTAAGCAGTGTAATAGACAAACCTTGATTGCTTCTAATTCTTTCTCTTTATCTTTATTTTCTCTGATTTTTTCTCTACCATCATCATCTTCATTAATGCTAATTAATGCAACAGTGTCTCTTGGTGGTGGTCTATCTCTTCTATCTCTGTCTTCTAAATTGATAATTTAAAAATTATATAATAATTATTAAACAGTATTATCATAATGAAATAATAAATTAATACTTTGCAAAGCATAAAATATTGAATTCATTATTTGACAAATTCAATGTTTCAGCCTAGTAAATTAAATCAAATAGCTATAAGATTTTTATTATTGCTATCACAGGTAAAATAAATAATTTTCAAAACAGATTTTTTGCATTTATAAATACTTATACCATCTCTGGTAGCATACAATTTTTCTTGGAAAATATTTCAATACATCTACAATATCAATTTTTTTTTAAGATATGAGAAAAAGGAACTATTATTTCAGAAGTATCTTTATCTATTTGAATTAAAACTTGCAATAAATTTTTTAAAATTATTTTTTAATACTATGTATAATTTTAGTTATAAAATTCAATGCTGTTTTCATTTTTTTGAGTTTTCTGTTTCTTGTACATTATTTATAATTAGCTCTCTTCTATCAATGTATTCTGTTATAATAATTTCAGTTGTCTATCAGAGTCTTACCTAGGACTAAAAGCTGAAATTTCTTTATCTTTGCAACCATCTACAATACTTATTCAAAAGTCCTTTAAAGTTTATAATAAGTTCTGTTAATAATGAGTGTCAAGAATTATATTCATTGACAAATTAATTTTAAAGGTGTAAGTTTAAGTTTGCTTTTTTTTTGCATACTATCAATACTTTCAGTCATGCATGTACTTTTGTTTTATCAGCTATCTATTTAGTGTACATCTTAATTAGGTGTACTTCAATTTTGGAGAGTGCTAATAATTAAACAAATACAGCATTTCAAAACATTATCTTAAATTTCAAAATGTAGTTACAATTTAATTAAAAAATATTAAAATATAAAACAATTTTAAAGCTTTAAAGTATTTTAAAATATTTCAGATATTTTCAGCATCTAAATAATCTATATAAATCCTAAAAATTTTATTCAAAGTTAAAAAATAGACACTTATGATTATATATGATTATCTTTATTTAAAAAAACCCTTTACATCTTTATCCATAAGCAGCATCAATACACAGAGCAACGTGTTTGTTGAAAGTCATACATGGTTAGTTGCAAGTCTGTATTTAACACTATACCATTATATTTAATTCTTTTCGTTTATTTCATGTGATGATGATAATCTCATCTCTTACATAGATAAATTAAATCTCTACACATCCACACAGGCACAACTAAATCATTTATTAAAAATTACACACATTTACTCCACTGATATTTATACAATGATATCTCATACTTTGAATAACTAATAACTTCATTCTAGAGTTTAAATTATGCTTCTTTGTTTGAACTGTGCATGCAGTGAAAAAATGTATAAACATCATCCAAGTTGTCTCTCACTCCTGCTGTGAAAGCATCTCTAGCATTACACTCATATATTTTCAATGGCTTTTTATTATATTTTTCATGTGTTTGGTTATATAGGGTGTCTCCAATCTTTTCAGCAATATTTTGCCAGCTGATAGAAAATGTTGAATACAAAAAGTTTTCACCCAAACACTTCTTTCAATTTTGCCTTGGTTTTGAGTTATGTACAATAATTGTGAATTTTGTAAAATATTTTTTGAATATCTCTGGTTATAGTCAACCAATTTTGAAAATTTGTTTTTTTGTTTCTTGAATGAAGGAGTAAAATACTCCTTTTCAGGAACTAAATCTATTCAAAAGAAATTTTTGCTTTTGAATAGACTTTTTTTTTATAACAAATAAACAACCTTGCTAACCTGATGCAATCCAACAACACACCAACCACTGCTGTAAATCATTGGGCAATAACTTGGAATAAATAATTATATATAATAAATGAATTTGGCACTAGAGGGAGGTGTTAGGTAAACTCTTGTATTAAAATTAATAATTACAATATTTAATTAAATAATTTCAATTAAACTGGAAGAAAAAAAAAATTGATGCAAAGCGAGACACAAACCCACAACTTTTGCTTACCATGCGAATGCATTACCAGTTACACTACACAGACCTTTGGTCCAATCTCCTCTTCCAGTATATTTAACGTTAAGCTATAGCCATCGTCATCCATTATGGTGCCGACTGGGGGAGCATTCAGCACCCTCATCCAGTAAACATCCACAAAAGGAACTCAGTTGGCCATCGCATACCTGGCAAGGCATAGATATACAAATAAACAACCCTGTTAACCCAATGCAATGCAACAACACACCAACCACTGCCATAAATCATTGGACTATAATTAAATATTATAATTATTAATTTTAATACAAAATGATGCCTAACCCCTCCCTCTNTTATGCTACCCGGACCTTTGGTCCGATTTCCTCTTCCAGTATATTTAACATTAAGCTACAGCCATCATCGGCCATTACAGTGCCGACTGAGGAGCATTCACACAAGGCACTCTAGTGCCAAATTCATTTATTATTTATAATTATTTATTCCAAATTATAGCCTGATGATTTATGGAAGTGGTTGGTGTGTTGTTGCTTTGCATCAGGGTTGTTTATTTAAATGATGCCTAACCCCTCCCTCTAGTGCCAAATTCATTTATTATTTATAATTATTTATTCTAAATTATAGCCCAATGATTTATCGCAGTGGTTGGTTTGTTGTTTTTTTATAATCTTGAAAACATAGTTGTTTTAATTATTAAAAAGGAAAAAGTTGAGAACATTTTTGTGTTAATATTTTCATGGTGGTGCAAGAAAAACATTGTCATGGTTATCAAACTAATCTTGAAATACAAATTTACTTTGTGTCTTTTGAGATATGTAATTGATTGCACTAATAAAGCATTATGTATTACCAGTTTGAAACTTTCACCTGAAACCAGGTTAATAATCATAAAAGTTTAAAATGCAGTTAAGTTTCATTAATTAAGCAAATTAATGATTAATGTTAACTTTTTAGTTTTAGATCTTCCTAAGACCTGTACAAAACCTCACTAATCAAAAACCATGTTTACAAGGTTGTAAAAAATATTTTTAAAGGAAAAATACACCTTCATTCAAGAAAAAAAAATATTGAAATTAGTTGACTAGACCCAGAGATATTGAAAAAGTATTTGCAAACTGAGTTTTTTGTGCATAACATGAAACTAAGGCTAAACCAAAATAAGTCTACATGGAAAACTTTTTGTATTCTATGTTTTCTATCAACTGACAAAATATCACTCAAAAGATTGGAAACACTCTGTATAATACTGTGATCAGTATTTGGAATGGTTCATTTAACCTGTGTGTGTGTGTGTGTGTGTGTGTGCACAGGTTAAATGAGGGTACTGTGGTTGGTTTTTTTTTCATTGTTTCGTATGACTTTCATCCACACGTCACTGTTCGTTTTCATTTGCAAATTAACACTTTGTTTTGTGTGTAAAGAATTGTGACAGGATGGCAGCACACCCTCGGGTCAGATCTGACACCACCTGTGACTTTTGACCCACAGGAACTTGCATTATGTTTCTACTATTGAAGCCAACAGAAGTTGACTACAGTGAGGATAAAACTTTTACTCCAGCAATAGCTTACAATGAAAGGTCTGTTGAGAGATGTGTGCTTTATCAAATATGGAACTTTTTATCAGAATGTAAACATTTTATTGTTCTTTGATAATATTTTTAAGAAATTAAAATATTTCTTGTTTTTAAAAACTACTATTGACTTGGAGATATTTGATCTTAATTATAAATATTTATTATTAATGAAATAAATAATTAATAATGTAGTTATTTTATTTACATACCTACTGTTTTCTTGGCTTCATCAAAAAACATCATGCGCATTTTTCGTTCTTCCTCTGTTCGTTTTTTCTGTTCATCAACCTCTTGCTGTCGTCTTTGCAATGCTTCTGCAATTCTTTGCTCTTTAGTAAGAAAGACGGGCTAAAAATAAATAAATAAATAAGAGTTTTAATTATATGTAAGAAAATGAATTAATTTTCTAATCAAAATTATAAAAAAACACTACTGTTTTTAGATTTCATTCAATTTATTTATTTATTACTTACATAATATTTCAAAGAAAAATATTTAACTTAAAAAATTTACACATTAAATATTTTTCATTTTTAAATAAAAAATACTATTGTCTAAAATTATTTAATTTAAAAATAATAAATTATTAGTTTTAATACTAAAAAATTCTAATTTATTATTTTATTTATTAAAATTAAAGAATAAATATAACATTTTCAACAGCAGATTAATGTTTTCAATAAAGAAAATTCTGAAGTTTTCAGTTTTTCAATTTAATTCATAGCAACTAATGAATTTTGTCACCCACATGTGTTTTTTTTATATATTTTTTTTATTGTTTGACTCTTTCTGTCCTGTGGACACTAAGTGTCCACAGGACAGAAAGACAGTCCTTTTTATCAATTCCACTGTGGGTTCATCAGACCCACAATAGGACAACTGGATAATAAGGAACCGGAAGGGATCAACATTTCTGGGGCAGGCAACTCTCTGAAAAATTCTTAGGTTTTATCAACCCATCCAGAATCAATTCCCAGTCCTTGGAACAGTACATTGACACCTTAACATCTTGGTCATCTGGCTATTTCTACATGTGTTCAAGAAACTTGTCATCAAACAAAATCTGTAGTTTCAGTAATTTCACTTTAACTGGCATTCTGTTGCATATGTATCCAGCATATACATGGCTTTTTTTAATTGAATTTCACAAAAATAAATTGACAGTTGAACTATGGACTATGTAATATTCCTCAATTGAAATGTTCTGAAGTGATTTCTACAGTGGTTTTCAAGTTTATGAATTCTTTTTCAAAGAAATTTTACAAAAAACAATACCTTACTACCATCTCCAGTAAATTCTCTCACAACATGAGAATGCTGTATTCTTAGTTGTTGCACATAACAATCACAATTCAATAAAATAACAATGTAGTATATTTAAAGTTTATCACAATGCTACACATTCTTTCTATCTTTTTCTCCTGGTATTTTCAACAACAAGATTTTCTTGCTTTGGTGTTATTGCCCTGCTTTCTTGCAATCAGAGCACAATAAAAAATTTAATACTTTCAGTTTTGCAACAATTAGAATTTATGTTCATTACACAGCAATACCATTTAGTAATTGTGACCCAAACATTTATTTGGTAATTTTATCAATATTTTTTAAATTATTAAAAATAAAATTATAGAATTCATTACTGGCAATACTAGTTCTAAAATATAAAAGAAAACATTCTCCTAAGTGCAAGAAAACAATCTGTTAGTTGTTTGACACTACTGACATAAAAGGGAGTTTTTGAAAACAAAGTAATAAAATAATTAGTAGTTTGTTGTCTTTCATAGTGAGGGGATGGCAGAGACTATTACTTTCGCTGGAGAAAATAAACAAACCTTTACTACCCCAAAGTTGAAAGATAATACATTCCTGTGAAATTTAGCAAATCTGCTGTCAATAAGTAAAAGCTGAAATGATTTATAAGGAGTTGAAATTTGATAAGTTTAGTTTTTTGCATTTACAGATCAAATTAAAAAAATATAAATAAAAATCTCATTTTTTAAACCCTCAAGTATTTTATACTGTTAGAAAGTAAAGAAAGTGTAGAAATCAAAGATATAATGATGTTCAAGCATATATATCTGTAAAAATATAAAAATTGCATTAAGTTGCATTATGTATCCAGTGGATACAATGCGTCAAGTGACTTTTAAAACTCTATGCGCCTAAAGAGGAGTTAATATTGCATTTTTGATTCAAATAACAATAAAATACACACAAAAAAGAACTTTTGAAAGTCCACAAGTATTTTTTATGTCGTTAGGAAAAAGACAAAGTGAAGAAATTAAAAATATAATTGTAGTTTTTGATATAATGCTGACAATTTCACAGTTTTAGAAGAAAAACTTGTTTATTTTTATGTGACTTAATTCATTCATTTTTTTAGATGTATCTAATCCTCTAAAGAAGGATGTATAACTTCACTTAAACAAGCATGCCAGCATTCCCCTGGGATGCCAATTTTTACCATACAGAAATAACTGATTTCATGGTCTTCCCCAGATAGACCAGAATGCTAGTCATTCTGCAAAAATACAGTATATATAACCAAACATAGTAATAATAAAGCAAAAAAAAAATTGAAAGTATAAGTGAAAGTGAGTCATCTTTGGTACACAACAATTTATGCTTTGAGTACATTTTTTCACTGCATGTGCAGTTCAAACTTCAAAGCATCATCCTAAATTTTTTAGGTACATTTTCATTTATTTTGGTAAAGTGCAAGGTTCTAGAAATGTCCCAGAACCATACCAAAAATGTAAAAGAAATTCATAAAATAATTATATAAAAAGGTTAATATTAAAATGTAGAAATTTTATGACCAAAAAGGAAAATGTTTGATTTGATAAGAAAAGAAAAAAAAAGTAGATCTCATATTTAAGCAATAGAAGAATAGACAATGTAAGTCCTAAGATCAACTATCTCCAACCAGGATTGAATTGACAGTTGATATTAACTCATCCCACAATCTGAGTTCTGATCTCTTTAAACTTAGTAACAAAGGACAACCAATTAGAGAGTGGAGATGAGGCAAAAAAACCAATCAAAGTGGTTGATCTAGGACCCGAAAAACCTATAAAAATCCGTGTTTCAAGGACACACAGAGCTTCTTCCCAAGACTTCCTGTTGTGAGGCACCATTCTTGGTTGAAATCTCCTCTGCATCCCAACACCAAATCAGATTAATTATCATCTTCTCTACAAACTTCCTCACAACAATGCCCTGGAGCAGTTGACTTCCAAAAGGAACACCGAAGAATCTTTCTCATAGGACACTCACACTGTGTATAAAAGAAACAAACTGGAAGACTTGATTTTGCCTGCAGATTGAAGACTATTATAGCTGCAAACTTATTTTTAAGTTGCAAAAATTAAATCAGGACCACTGTTGTGAAACTGTGGAGTTTGTCTTTGTACCAATTGCACCCACTCACAAAATGAAATTACTCTGTCATTCTGACATTTTACTGTGAATCAGCAACTTCACAAAAGTATGTCATAAAAATTATTCTCATTTCAATGGATACACTTTGATGTCATAACGGCATAATTGGTGCTAGAAAACTGTTTTATCTAAAAAACTGTTATGCATGTGGGTAGTACATACTGTTGTTAACAATTCTTTTTGTGCATGAAAAACATAAAAACTTCTGAAAGAAATATGTTGAGTGATTCCCATGTTAACATTCTTAGAATTAAGACTAGTACCATAAAAGCATTTATTGACAATATTATAAAAGGAAGGCAATGTCAAAAATCGAATTGAATATATTTTTATTTTTTGTGAGTATAATTTCTTTTTTATTGTCAACAATACAGTATTTTTTTGTAACTATATATATATATTTGTTATTAAAATTTGATATTCACATTTTAAACTTTTTAAAAGCATATATTTATATAAAGTACCTTTGTGGTCTGCTGAATACATGTATTTCTAATTTGGTCCATTAGAAAAAAAGGTTGGACAACTGTGTTTTAAAGCGTTTGAAGTACCACTGTATTTATTTATTTCCAGACATACCTGTTTATCTCTCTTACAGAAATGTTAGAATCAACTTAATTTAAGATTTAGCTACTCAAATTTAATCTTTATTAAATTTGATGAATCTTTGTTGTTAAAACTGAATTTGTTTCATTAGTATATATTACCTTACTTCTTGCTTCTTCTTCTGCTTTTTTCTTAGCCATTAATTCTTCTAATGACAAAGGTTCCTTTTTAACTTCTGTTTTTTTATCTTTTTCTTCATTATCATCTTCTGGTTTCAAGGAATTACTTTTAAAAATAAACTATGATATTTAGAAATATTCTTCAGTTTTTATAGAAATTAAAAAAAATTAAATATAGTGATATTAAAAACAGTTTAAAATATTACCTTGATTTAGTTTTTTCTTTATCTCGATATTTATCTTTACTTGTTTTCTTTCTTCCCTTATCTTTGCTTCTATCCTTTTCTTTTTTGTTTCTATCACGACTTCTTCGACGTTCCCTACTTCGTGATCGAGATCTACTCAACAGATGAAAATATGAATAGTATAAGAATTTTAAATACAATATAAACAAGTATCTTTACATTATTATTAATTTAGTAATAATTATATAGCTTCAGCTAAAGTTTCTAAAAACTCCTGTCTTGTTTTATGCATGTTTGTACTGTATATGTGTACACATTTGTATACACATTGTTTCCATTGACTTTCCATTGTTAAGCAACATAACTAAAAATGTTTATTTCTAATATATAACACACTACATGGTCTACTGTATCACACAGTAACTGTATTAATTGTTGTTTTGGACTGTGAACTAAAGTGCCATCAATTGTAAGGAGCATCTCATATTTCTTAGAATGTGAGACTCGTATTTTTATCTTTCTACTTATCCAAAGTAGAGATTACTTTGGATAAGTAGAAAGATAAAAACATGAGTCTCACATTCTAAGAAATATGGTATTAATAAAATACAAAATTTAAAACAATTGTTCTTGAATTATTTCTTGTCAAAAAACATATGTGCAATTGTAAATAATTTTTTGAATTTTAATTTTCAATAGAGTTTTATGCTGTAATTTTTATATCACAATTTTAAATACAGTGATACCCTGAACTTACGCGATAGGTGGGACCGAGCGATAACTGCGTAAGTCGGGGTATAATTTCGCAATTTGTGTAAAATCCAAGTCGGATGTATGTAAGTTAATAAATGTTCTCGTTAATCTTATCTCGTCTTTTGATTTGTTCACGGCTACAAGAAATCACCACATAAAGTCTCTTGAGTCTCCGTAGATATCACAAACACAGAAATAAATAACACAAAATAATTTGTAGCTATGTGTCGATTCCGCGCGAGACGTCCGAACATGTAAGCCGAACAATAGTGTGAAGGGAGTGAGTAATCGAGAGTTGCGTGGCGCTCAAACAAAAGAGGAATCAACGAGATTTGAAAATCGCGTAACTCCGGGTTCGCGTAAGTTGGGGTAGCGTAAGTCAAGGTATTACTGTATATATATAACCAACATTATTTCTAGTTTCTGAGAAATTATAGTTGAATAATAAATTATGTGAGGCTGAGATACCCCCAGACGGGAATGGGCTGTCAAGCTAAAGCCAATAAATCAGTGACTTATTTTGTAAACAGGACTGGTGTGACCAAGGAAGGAGGTGAGATGATTTAATTGTTGCATTCCAGACCTAATTGACAGATCCTAGATCGTACATCGTAAGAATGAGAGAAGGATCGTCTGCCAGAGTAACTCTGGACGGTCACCTTACAGAGTGTTCAAAGCGGGACCTGCTGACACTCATGTGGAGGGGTGGCGGCTAGGACAGCTGCATCTTCTCTGGGACAGAAAAATACACATCAGGTAAAATTTATGGGTCTGTCATCCGGGGAAGGGCTTGATCTGACTCTGGAGGGGAATGGCCCAGACGGGGATGTTCGGTGACCCCGCAGCCCAAATTACATCCCTGGAAACAGACCAGGGACCAATAGAATTACAGGGGACCATCATTTGGACCAACCAAAACCTCTGAATTTCAGAAAAAAAAAAAAAAAAGGTTATAAAAGCCCAAGGTCCCAAGAACACAGGGAGGTGGTGATCGAGAGTGTCAATCCTTGTGTATGGATTGTGGCTACTCTAACAACAGACAAAGGAGAAACCCAAAGACTCCGAGGAAGGATGGACTCTGAAGACCAAAGGCTCCGAGCGCAGGAAAAATAAGGGACCTAACTTCTCAACGATTCTTTCTTTCCTCCCTGACCTCCTGCATCTGATTTAGCAGAGAACTTCACCAAAAACCAGGACGAACATGCGCTGGTTGGAGCACACTTCCAGGATCATCCGAGGTTGCAAGTTGGTTATAGTACACCCTTTTGATCTTATTTGTAAGCATGATGTCTTTGTTTAAATAAACATGATATAATTTTAAATTATGGTCTCTGTGTGAGTCATCTTTGCGTCCAACAAACCACTACTCCCATACATAAAAAAGCTTTCTTGCATCATTTTGACAGATCACAGGCAAAACAAGGGTCGTAATCTTTCGCCTTATGGACGACCTCTAAGGCGAGTGGCATTGGCCAATGTCGAACAGACCCCACAGAGGTATCTTTCTTTGTTCCTCACAATTATTTAGTATGTATTGTTAAGTTATTAATTTAAATTTTACTATGAATATAGCACATATAAATTATTTTTACTATTATTATTTTCAATTTCTTTTATTTAAAACTTTGTTTTGAAAAAATCAAAAATATTACAGATTTTCAAATATAGTAACTTATGTAAAGTAAAATAATAAATCTGTAAACAGCAGAAGACATTATAAATTAATATAAGCTGAAAGACAGAAAAACATCTATCTTTGAAAATTTCACAAGCTAAAAATTAGTGTTTTAAGTTTATAAACATCAATGTTATTAATTTTCATTGTATTTCTTATTTTTATGAAGTTGTAAAGTTTATAAAATTTTCAGTTCTGATCCTGAAAAGTAAAAAATTTAATACAATTTTCTTAAATTTTACAAGACCCATATCTAAGCTATACCTTCTTTCTTTACTACGAGATCGTCTTCTTTCTCTACTACGAGAGCGTGATCTAAAAAAATTTAAATAAAACAAAATATTAAAAGCTTAAAAACAAAAATACATTTGCTTGCTATAATTAATTCAATAATATAAATTTTTATCTCTAGAAGATAAATATATTTAAACTAAAAATAAAAATTTTAAATAATTTTTCAAAATATATCTATATATATAAAAATGAATGTATGTCTGTCTGTGTGTCCTATGTCCTTCATGCATTACCACACCGTTTATCCGATTGCCATGAAACTTTGGGAAGTTGTTTAATATACTCCGGCGAAGGTTTGTGGCATAGTACGATTGCCATGAAACTTCGGGAAGTTTTTTAATACACTCCCGCGAAGTACATTTATCCTACGATAGATGGCGCGCGTTTACACGAGCATTCGCGCATAGTGTGTTTGATCGATTTCAAATTGTGAAGACCATTTCCCCCCTTCAAAAATATATATGTCTCTGTATATGCATTTGTGAACTGTTATTTACGATATTTGTAATCATTTTTGTTTAATCACTTTATTTCGACTTTTTTTGCTAATTATGTTTTCGCTCGAACTTCGTTAAAATCTTAACTGTACCCCGAACAACGACCGAAGTTGTAGGAAGAAATTCGCCTATTTTACCGATCTAGGTATCGCCCTTTTTCAAATTTTAATATCGACTCGAAATAATTTAAAAAGACAAATTACAATAAAACGGTTTATTATCTAACTATCAGAAATTTCCCAACATGCCAAGGAAGAGAGGAAGGAGCAATTAAATAATTAAAATTATAAAGGATTTAAAAATATATATATAAATGGGGAATATCGCGCTTTTGACAATCGCTGCAAGTGTGTGGGCTAAATTTGGAGAATCCGTGCTTCTCGCATGGACAACTGTATGTGGCCAGCTCACGCGTCGGAAAACCTTCCGAATTATTCGTGTACGCACCAGACGAAAAAACAAAAAATATCGTGTATCCACGAGCACTCCAATAAATAAATAGAATTGAAACGACACTTTGAAATGTTTTCCCGATGAAAACGAATAATAATAATATATTTCAATAAAAATGATAAAATGAAAATTTAATTTTATTATAACGAGTTTGCTTGAATTTCATCTCTTCTGAGATCGCAGCAATGCGCGACGGGTAAGCTAGTA